CTATGATAAACGAGAATGATTTTTGGAAATATCTAAATCACTTAATGCAAGTTAAGTGCTTTTCGTTCAACACGTGAAGATTATTTACTGAATCTTATCTAATCGTTTTATTGATGGATTTTCATTTGATAATGTTTCAAGATCAAACTAGAACTTTTTAAGTTTTACCGGATTTTAAGAATTTGAATTCATATTTTCACAACCTTTGAATCAGCGAAAAGTTTCGCCATATATATATACAGTGAACTCTCGTTATAACATTTCTCTCGTTACAACATTCATTTCGAAAATAATTTCGAACGAAATCTCGAACAAAATTTTCTCGTTACAACATTTCTCTCGTTATATCTAACATCTAATGCTGTCAGTCCCTTCGAAAATGTTATAACGAGAGTTCACTGTATTAAGCTTTTGCATTTTCCGAGTTTCTACGAATGATAGGTTGTGTTAACTGCACGAAATTTGGACTACCGAGTAATTTTTTTTAAAAGGTTGTTGCTAAAGTACTCGGAGTAACAAAAAATCTCGGAGTAACATGATTTCTACAGCTCATTTGAGCATGAAAAACTGAATTCGGTCTGCTCGAAATTTTCCCCTTTGAGTGCGTTCATAAATTTATCGGACGACGTTCAGTCTTCTGTCAATTGTCGTCGCTTGATTCTACATAGATATATTTATCAATTAAGGTGTTTTGAACACTAAAAACTGATTAAAAATCATGAGCATTGCTTCAAAAACATTGTGCACATACCTTAAATTAGTGTAATGAAATGTGTGATACATAAATATACTCCAAAAAAGACTAAAATTGAAAATGCTAATGATAGATTAAAAAGAGTTTTTTAAAGAACTTAAAAGGATACATCCGAGTAGATTGCAATAGTGTAGCTACAAATAGAAGTGATACTTCAGTCTCCAACTACATTATTTTATAGTAAAAAGTTTAATTTTAACCAAAAAATATATATAAAAGAAATACAAATTGAAAATAAAAGTTCACATACCAACCAACGCGAGAGGAGAAGAAAAAAAACCATGAAGGGTTGAAATTTAAATACTTATAATTATAAAATCCTTCTTTTAAAGTTCAAGAAATGTGTAAAAAGAGCTCCAATTGTAAAAAATTATAAGCGAAAGTGAGTATTATGAAGGAAAATTGTGTAATTTTCGATTTTCTTGCCCGGTAAACTTGTTGGATTAGCCATTTCTGTTTGTCGTGATATTAAAATCCTGAATTTCATCACTCAAAATCCGTCATCATGAGGTGCGTTCCATTTCCGCTATTTTTCAATATAATTCCGTTCTAACAAGCATCTCCAAAACGCTTTAATGTTCCATTAGTCGTGGATGAAAAGAATTAATATAAAAAAAAAGTTGAAGCAACAAGAAGAAGGAAAAGAATAACAAGAAGAAGAATAATAACACAAAAGACAATAACTGTGTGCAGTTTACTATTTTCTCTAGGCTACATCAAGATTCTTGCATTAGATTATCTTTAGCTTTTTTTTTCTTACGCTATCCATCAACATATTCATACACCCGTGAAATGTAAATTTATTTATTTTATTTTTTTTTCTTTTTCAAGAAAAATCTTGGACAAACCGAATGTAATGAATAAGCAATCACTCTTGTTGACTGCTAAAGAGTTTAGAATAAAATTTTCTTTGCGAAAAAAAGAGAGAAGAGCTTAATTTTTGAGTATTATCACTCTACTTTGTATAGTTTCTTCCTACCTCAAACAAACTTATAAATGTCTCGCTTTGATAGTAGACAAAAAATATGAAAATACAAAAAAAGAAAATAGAAAAGTAAAGAAGTAATAAAACTTTTTCTTTTTTGGTGAAATGAATGAATTAATGAAGATGTTTTATGGGTCTTTTTTAGGTGTCGTGGATCAAGACGAATTTAGACATCAATAATGGAAAAAGCAAAAGCTTACATCAAAAAAGAACTACAAACGTCAAATTCTAAGCCTAATACAAATGCGTCAACAAAAAGTGGTGAAGAAAGCTCTATGACTTGTTTTGTTTGTGGATCTGTTGGAGCGTCTGACGCATATCAACTGCGAATTAAGCCAAATAATGAAAAACCATCGGAAGCATACTTTCAATTTCTAGAAACTCACGAACCGCCTTCAGGGTGTAGCGTTCTTCAACCAAATCAACAATTTATTAAAGCCTGCTACTTATGCTATAATAATCTTAATTATCAATGGGATGCTTATGAACGTGATGGAAAGCCGCATATGCAACGACTTTATTGGTGTAAAAGAAATGATGGCAAACCATTTACAGGAGCTGACATGTCTTTACAAGGCGAATATGCTGCTCAGATGCTTGGCCTCGCTAGTGATGGCATCTCAACAACACATTTAAATCCAAATCGTTCGTCACAATCATCAAATGATTATCTCAACAATTATTCACAAGCAAACCTTGAAAAAGCTACCAAACAGAATGAATCCAATAATGGCTTAGCCAAATCTGGTGATATGTTATCAAATAAAATTCCTAAGACCGATTCAAATAGCGGCGGTAGATTGTCACGTCCAAATAGTCGCAATGAACGTACACCCAATTCTCGTCCACAATCAAGAGATAATCAACAACAACAACAATCAATTGCTTCCAAATCAAACGATACGGGATTTACAGCAAGTCAACCATCATCATTTGCACAACGAAAATTTAAGCTCGCAAACTTTTCGAATTCTTATTCGTCACCATCACCATCATTGACAACATCTGCAATACAACTCAGTAGTAATGTTACATCGTCATCAGCCAACGTAAATTTTCCATCGCAATCACGTTTATCAATGGTCGATGACGATTGTTCAGCACTTGACTTGCGCAATTCTTCCATTGGCAGTAACAGCGTAAATTTGAGTTCAATTCAAGGAATTGGCAGTAATAGTAATTCATCAACTGGAAGTGCTGGAGGCGGAAGTATTGGAGGTGGCACTGACATTCTTGATTTGTCAATGCCAGATAAGAATTCAGTTACAGAAGTTTGTTATGTGTGTGGTGAAGAGCAAAGGCGTGGGAGTTTGATGGAGTTGAGTACTTGCGTTCCTAAAGATCCGAAAGATTTCGAGAAGCCATTCTTTCCTATTTTTGATGAGAGTCATGCCCGTCCAGCAAGATCTAGACCGAAAGATCCCAAAGGAATGGTTCAAGCTTGTAAAGCTTGTTACAATCATTTGATGACGCAATGGCAAAGTTTCAATGCAAGGGGAACGCCTGATGACGATCGTCGTTATGCTTTGAGAAAGCGACAAGCAGCACCTGATCGAACGACTTTTGTTTGTTATGTTTGTGCGTTAGATTGTCCGTCAAGTCAATTAAGACTGGTTTACTGTTGTGCAAATGCTGAACGTGAGCCTTACTATCCTTTCATAAAAACCAAATCAGCACCGCCAAATGCCAGTCCAATAAGTCCACAAGGAATGGTGCAAATATGCGTCTCATGTAATCAACAGAATATGCATTTAGCAGAAGGTGGGACACCAGGAGCAAATCCACAACCACCAACAAATAATGACGATCGACTTGTTCATTTCACTAATTCACCAACAATTATGTCACAACAAACACAACGCGAGCAAGTGCCTATTCTTATTCCATCCTCCCAATTAGCCAACGCTCAATCGTCTCATTTGTCACTTACCAGTTCAATGGCACCATCAGAAAATTCATTATCAATGGTTCCTTCAAAATCTTTAATTCATGATTCTTCTGCCGTGATGAATGTTAGATATAAAGTAAGTGTTTGTTTGCTTTTTTGTTTGTTTGTTTGTCAAACATTAATCAATTCATGACATTTTCATCTTCTTCTTTATCAGCCTTACGATACATCGAATTCTTCCAAAGAACAATATACAGGACATTTAACAATGCAGAAGAGTTTTACGAGACGCGACTTAAGTAGTAATTCGCCTCATGGAACGACTGAGAATGGTCACGGATTTCCGTATGTATTGACTTGCCCTTTTTTCACATTTTTATTTCTTTTTTGTTTACGTAATAATTAAAAAAAATAATTTTTATGTTTATTTTTGTTTCTTTTTTTTCTTGTTATCAGTTGTCACATCTGTAAACAAGTTTTTAATCCGAATCACTTGGAATGGTTGTCGACAAGCGCGGAACATATGAATTCACATGCAATGCATTTTCCGTGCTTAAAAACGAGTGAGAATGGTCCCGGTAGGGTTTTAGCTTGTTCCAGATGTTTCCGTTCATTGGCATCACAATGGGATTCAATGGATGCGAAAAGAATTCCTTTAGAACATCGAAGGTAATTAAAGTTAAAGAAATAAACTTAACGGTTATTTTAAATATTTAAAATATAATTTTCGAAGATACAATATTCCATCTCCAATTTCGAATTCGATATCGCCGAGTCCAAGAAGTCTTAGCTTGGGTATAACAACGCCGCCATTGGCAACAACAACATCAACAACGTCCATTTATTGTCTCGTTTGTGGCTTACATTCTGATTTGACACTAGCTAGACTTCTATATGCAAACAAAGAGGTGAGAATTTAATTAATTTAAATAGGATTGCCTTCAATATCATTTTTATGTTCAAGGGTTCACGTCCATATTTTCCATTTCTAATAAAACACAATCCACATCCAAACGCTGAACAACTTCGTTCTGATGGATCAGCTTTAGTGTGTACATTCTGTTATCATTCTTTGTTGACACAATGGCGTAAATATGAAGCACAGAACTCTGTTGCGCCTAATGAGCGTGAATATAATTGGCACGATTATTGTTGTCATCTTTGTGGCGTTAAAACATACCGAAAGCGTGTTCGGGCACTACCAATACGAGAATTTCCTTTTGTGGCTAATCGTAAGTCAGATGGTGGACTTTTATTGGAAAACGGTGACTTTGCTGTCGTCTGTCTCGATTGTTATGAATATTTGAAGTGAGTTAAATAATTTAACTTTTATTATTTGCTTTTGATTCGATGAAGTTTGAAATCTTCCAGACAACAAGCAGCACAATATGAGCGTCTTGGTGTTCCTCTTGAGAAGCGAGAGTATAATTGGGCACCACAACCACCACCACCTGAAGATGGACCTGATGTGTCTGTAGCACGTCTTCCCAGTGGACAAAAGTGCATTGATAAGCTTAGAGAAGTGAATTAAGATTTAATAATTGATCAGTAACAAATTGTGCTTACAATACTTTTAATTTCAGCCAACAATCATAAATCGACATTCACAAAGTAAAAAGAATAATTCACCGAAACATCCTGTAGATAAACGTCCAACAATACCACATCCAGGTCATCCCAGCAGTGAAATGAGTAAGAAAAATTAATTTATATTAATAACTAATCAAATTATTTCCTTATCCTTCCAGTACATTCAAAATATGCTACGAAACGTCTTGATGCGAGTCCAATTCCTTCGTCATTACAACATCATCACAGTCAAGGATCGAGTGGACAAATGACAGCAATTCCAGCTCATATGAATTCACAAAGTATGCAGCAAATTCATCAGCAACAACAGCAGCAACAGAGTCAACAACAAAAACCTCAAAACAGCATGCAACCGTCAGATAACAATCGAAGTAGCGAACAATCATTTGCTGCTAAGCTTCGTAATTTAGCAAAACATCAAATTGATGTGAAAGATGATGAAATGATGCAACAAAATGAAAGTAAAATGTCTAGTAGTAATCAAAGATCGAATGAGAAGGAAATGGATGTGAATCGTCAAGCGAGTTCATCGCGTGTTATGCAATATGACAATCGTCCTACTGATATGCGTAATTTAACATCACCCCAACCGCCAGATAAGAAGGTGAGACTGAAGGATGGAACTGAATGGCATAAGACAACAGCTAATCAATTCAACAACCCACAGATTCCACGCTTAAGTAGCAGCACAAGTCAGCAACAGCAGCAACAAGCATCAGCAAATTTACAATCAGAACTCCTTGCGAGAAGTGGCTTTCAACCTTACAGACCAGATGAACGGCATCTTCATCCAGCTGGTGGTCAATTTCCAATGGATGCTTTTTCACCGTTTGGACCAATTCCAGGTCTTCCGTCAAGTAAATTTTTCACCAAATTCTTTGAATTTCAATAAGTTTAATCTTATTTAATCGCATTTTCAGGCGGTTTATTTAATCCAGCTGCCTTATCATATCAAGAAGCTTTATACTTAGATCCTAGACTACAAAGTATGTTGCGTTCAAATCCACATGCTGCTCTTTATTCTCAGTTAGCATCACCATATGCATCTCATTTATATGGCATAATGCCTGGAGCACCACCAAATCTCCCAGCAATACATGAACGAATGAAATTAGAAGATGAACATCGTGCACGTATTGCTCGTGAAGAAGAGAAAGCTCGAATTGCAAGAGAAGAAGAAAAAGCTCGTGAACGTGAGAGAGAACGTGAAATGAGAGAGAAAGAGATGCGTGAACGTGAACAACGTGAAAAAGAAATGCGTGAACGTGAGCAGAGAGAGAAGGAAATTCGCGAGAGGGAATTGAGGGAGAAGGAAATGAGAGAACGTGAACAACGTGAAAAGGAACTTCGTGAACGTGAAATGCGTGAGAAAGAAATGAGAGAACGTGAAAAACTTCTCCAACAACATCATTTTATGCAATCACAACGTAATCCTTACAATCTGCTTGGACTTTTCCCACAAATGGTTGGCTTAAGGCCACCATCATCGATGCATCCTGGATATCCAATGCATCCATCAATGTTGGGTTTATCACTGCCACAACAAATTCCAACGTCACTTTCAAGCAGCCTTGGATTACCGCCACATCATTCGCAATCACTTTCCACGGGCTCAAATTCAAATCCAATCACAAGCTCAGCTGGAATGAATCCGAACATGTCACTTTTAACAGAAATTGGTGGAAGTAGTTCACTTATGGGTTTAAATCATCCAGCTCATGGATTACCTCATAGTTTGTCACTCTTTCCTGGTAGTCTGCCACCTCCAGCTCATTTGTATTCACCTTTGGCAGCGCCATCGGTACCGTCATCTAGTTTAAGTAACAGTTCGTATGGTCATCCGCTTATGAATCCCGTCACGTCACCACAACCTGTCTCAAGAACTTCGTCATCAGTTGTGTCAACGTCACAGCAAAGTTTGAATTTAACAAAAAGTCCAATATCGTCATCGTCATCGTCTTATATGAATAAAATTGTGGAGCGAGGTGGTGGAGAAAGCAGAAACATTTCATCGTCGGATCATTCAAAGAACACACAAAACACGACGACGAATTCATCAACATCGTTGTCAATTGCGACAGTTTCTATTCCTTCAATGTTAAATGACAAGAATTTCAAAATTGAAATACCAAACATAAGTAATGGAAGTAACACAATGAACACAGTTGGTCATATTAAAGAATCAACGATAGCAACAACGTTGACAACGACGACAACAACATCAACAAAGAATGATGAGAAAGACATTTCAACTGTCAAATCTATTGAGTTGATAAAAGATGAATTTTCATCGCCCGACGATGAGATGAAACCAATCGTGATGGAAAAATCTGCTTCTTTGGAAAGTTCTGTGAAAATCTCTGAAAGTGAAAATAATAAAATCGAAACAAAAGCAACGGAGAAAATAAAGAATGAGAACAAAATGAAAGCAGAACATCAACAGCCTCAAGACTTTGCGTCGCCGTTATCAGATTTGGATCAAAAGGATGTGAAAAACAGCGATGATGACAACAACAAAGTTGTGCAAAGTTCGAATGACAATAAATGCAGCGAGTTGGAAAATACGACAGAAGATTCAGCAGCCAAAGATACTACGAATGATGTTAAGGAAGAGGATTTGAAGATCGATGAGAAGGTTAAAAATGACGAAGCCAACGATGAAAACAACGCAAGCACAAAAGCGATTATTGAGACTCTAAAAACATCCAACAAGAAGTGAGAGAAAAACTCAAAATTGTGTTGAACATTTTGTTCTTCATCATCCACAATTTTTGATTTAAGTGTCTTGTCTTCTTAAACTTCATGTTAAATGGAAAATAAAATATTTCTTAATTGTTCGTCTCAAACATCTTTTAAGGGAAGTAAAAAGAAGGGAAAAACTTCATTTCCTTAAAAAGATTTTTACACAAATAATTTCATTTTATTTTATGTTTCTTCTTCTTTTTTTGCTTAAAATGGAAAACTCTACATACTTAAATAAATGTAAAATTAATGAAACTGCTTCATCCGTAAACGAACGAAAAAAGAAATGAAATTTTTTTTCGCGATGTTTTGTAAAGGTGGAAAAAATAAAATAATAAAAATAATAATAAAAAACATGTTGTAATGGTCTAATGGTTAAAAGAAATGGAATCAACCCCCCAAAAAAAACTGTTAAACTGTGTAGCTTATAATTTTTTGAATATAATTTGTAAATAAATAAAATTAATTTTTTTATAAACAAAATGTTGTTTGGTCTTTTGTTCTGAGTCTGCTGACTATTCTTTTTCAGATCTTCATTCATAAATTAATTAAATTTGTAAACTAATAGAGAAAGAAAGACAAAGAAAAACATCCATTCAAGAAGTTAAAATAAAGTTTACTTATACAGATGGTGGAGAATTTCATAGAACAGTCGTCGAATGAGTAAGCAACGAATTGATGACAACGTTTATTATGATTATGACGAGTCGACGTATTCGTCTAACCATAGCAAAGCTGTTAGTGTCAGTGTCAGCCTTATCTCGTCGTCATTTTATTTAACTGTTTTTAGCAACTGGAAAAAAGCTGTAAAAGCCAAATTTATGTTTTGAATTCATAACTCGACATATTTAATGAGAACACAAACTGATTTTCTGTTGTATCAAATAAAAGTTTTATCAAAATTTTGAAGAATTGCTTTCTGCATGAAAGTTGTTGGTACACAGATACATTGGTAAGTTCTACACATCATTTGAGAATGAGTTTTACATTTTTTTCCTTCTTAGAATTACAATTTATTAATATTTATTCATTTCTTCTTCTTTATTTATATAAAACTTAAATACATAAATTTCTTTTTTCATTATCATTTTCTTCATTTTTGTAAAAAATTCGATTTGCATTAAACGCTTTTTTAAAATATTCGGTGGAAAGTTTTTGAATTTCTTTTTTGCTACAATTTTTTAAAATTTAGTTGATGCCTTTGGAGTTTTCCAAGAAGAAAAAAAAGTTTTCCTTCTGGAGTGAAAAGTTTTTTCAAGAGAAAATCACAAAAAAGTTTTTTCTTTCTTTTTGGCATGACAAAAGTCATAAGAAATTTTTTGTCTCTATCTTGTTGATGTTAAATTGTTTAACCAACCACCGTAAAGAAAATGAATTAGTGAAAAATATAAATTGATGAATTAAGGAAGAAGTTCATAAATTACGTATCGCCATTAACTGGTACTTTTACTTTCAATCATCAACCACTGTTTCACTTTAGAAATGAAACTCACAACATTTTGACTCAAAATTTTCATTTTTTTTTTCATCGTTAACGTAATTTATAAACATTACCTTGAATTAAATTTTATTTTTGATATAATTGTAGTAATTGCTAGGTAGATACGTGGAAGTATACTTATGTAGGATACATATTGATGATTCATCTTTAAACTTTACAAACTACTTAGGTAGATATTCTTATCGAAGCATGAACATTCTTTATAAAGTTCTTCTTTTTTCAACTTGCGAAACCAAATTTTATTAAATTCGTAACCGAAACTTAAAAATATTTTATTTCTTCATGTGGAAAATCGAGCGAAAATTAAAATGTACACAAAAACAAAAGAAAAAAGAAAAAAAAGGAATTAAATTCACGAACATTTCTTCTTATTTTACCGTTAAGACAGAAGTTGTTGACTAGCTTTAGTATTAAACTATCATCATTTCTGTCTAACGGCTTCTAACCACACGTTTTTCTCACATTCTTGTCGTTATTAAAAAAATGTTTCATGATTTATTTTGATTATTAATACAATTAGATATTTAATGAGCGTATAATCATGAGATAAACTTGTTTTAATATCTACTGATACTTAGATTTCAATATCAATGTTTATAAATAATTTTTTTTTCTTCTTAATTGGTCTATGAAATTTTTTTTTCCTTTCTCTAATCTTCTTCAATAATAATTTTTATGCTGTTCACTTATGGCTTATCTATGATATTTTTAAGGGCTTTAAAAATCCCAAGATCAACACTAAAGATTTCTTTTCATCAAATGTTTTCTCATTAATTTTCAATTGGTTTGTAAAAACATCGAGAAAGCGCTTTTTCGTAATAAGCTTGTAATCTACATTAATAAGCATTAATCTTAAGATTTTCAATGCTTCATTTGATATTATTTACTCTAGTTTTATGCTTTCAATAGAAATGTTTGTTCGTGTTTAATTAATTGGACATAGTTGTGAATATTAACTTGATTTCGAAGATGATTTATTTATTTATGTTATTAAGTTAAGTTTTATCAGTTTTTAATTACTTAGTTGCACTTGTCAGGGATGTTAGCCGACAACTGTAAAATTTACCGACAAATATTTTTCATAAGACAAAAATGTTTTTCCTGAAGACTTTTATTAAAACTTTTCAAAAGAAAACAAATAAAATGAAAAAAGATTAGAATGCTATTTGATTTGTTGTTTATTTACTTAAATAAGCAGCTACCATATGCAAGTTTTTGTTTAATCAAAAAGATCATTTATTTCAACATTGAATTTAGCCATAAAGCGGAATGATGCATTTAAATTAAATTTCCTTTTTTATATTGAGAACTTTTTAGGCCAAATGCTTTCTTCTCTTTTTTTCTAAAACCAACATCATTCTGATCTGAAGAAATTTCCAAAGGTATAAAAAGTGAAAAAGAAGGAAAGAAAGAAAAGCTGCAAGCGTGACACACTTTACAGTTTATGTTGTGTAATAATATCTATCATTAAATGAATAATTTTAAGCTTATGTCTTAAAGTCGATATCTAATGTATAAAAAAAACTGTTCATGAATGATTCACCCATAGAAGTCGTCACAGCAAAGAAAAAAGAAAAAGAATTTATTAATTAAAAACCTACTCGCGCGATATTTTGTGCCGACATCTAACAATTTCATTCACGAACATAAAATCTTAATTCCTTCAAATTTCTTATTTATTAGCTTTGTCAGCTACTTTCAAATTTATTCAGAAATAATTTCTGGTGCAAGTGGTGAGTCAGGTCCAATCTTATCAGCAACTTTATCCTACGAAAATGAGAGAAATATTCGTGTTAAGATCAGTTAGTAATCGTCGTTGTGAATCAAACATTTTTCAAGGAATTTCATCGAGTTTTAAATGGAAATAAACAAATCATCGAACAAATTTTTTGTTCGGAGAAAGAACAAAACGAAAACAATTAAATTATTATCTGCTTTTATAGCAATCAACATGTGTATGTAATAAAAGCAACTCACCTCTTTTTTAAGTTCCTCGATTATAGGTTTTGACTCGTTTACTTCATCACCATTTACATGCACGCCATTTTCAAGCTATAATGAAATAAACGTTTTATGATAATCGAATGGATATGAGAAAAGAAAAATTGTTTAATTGTTTTTTTAATATACTTTTATAGGCTCATTAGTTGTATGATCGCCGACAACTCCATTCTGGGTCACAACTTCATCATCAACGACAATTTCCGATGCTGGTGGTGTCTCAACTGATTGTGGTGATGGTGGTGGCGGTAAATCTTCTTCAGCTCTTTCATTTATTTCCGCTTCAATATGATCGACAGCTTGTTCGAGAACTTTTTCAATCATTTCAGCAACTGGCTCAACATCAATTTCTTTCACATTTTCAATTTCAATTTCCATTTCCACGACTTCAGTGTTGCTTGCTTTCATCTCTTCCTCTTTTACTTCTTCTACAACAGCAGCAGCAGCAATTGGTTCAGGCAGACTTTCTTCTACGATGACTTGTTGTGTGCTTGTCATTGTTGTTTCAGCAAAGACAGAACATTGACTTGGTGGCGGTGTTGATGGAATTGCTGGTGGCTCTTCAATTTCCACTACTGGGCTTTCATCAACTTTTGGTGTTGGCAGTGTTGTTGTTTCTTCTTCAATCTTTTCTTCAGGTGTTGTTGTTGGTGTTGCTGGCATTTCTTCAACTTTTGTTTCAACAATTGGAGCAACAATGACAGGTTCGGGTGTCTTCTCCTTGACGAGTTCAACGACTGCAGGAACTGGTTCTGGAACAGAAGCTTCGACTTTAACTTCTTCCTTGACCTCAGCAATGACTGTCTCGATAACTGGTTCTAATGACTTTGTTTCGACAGTTGTTTCTGGTTCTTTAGGTTTCTCTTCAGCAATTTCACTTGACTTGACCTCATCGTTAGTGCCCTCAGCAACAGCTTTGTTCTCTTCATTTTTCTTATCTTTCTTTGATGGCTTTTGTTTGTCCTTGCGCCCAAATGAAAGACTTCGGAACGACCACTTCTTTTTCACTTTTTCCTTCTTCGGTTTCGTTGCACTTTCAGGCTCGGGAGTTGCATCTTTTGTTTCTTCCGTCTGTTGCTTATCATCATCAACTTTTGGCGTCTCAGAAGTAGTCTCAACAACAGAAACGACAATTTCATCAGAAACTGCATTTGCATCTTCTATCTTCGCACTTTCATTCTTCTCGTTCTCGACTGCGTCGTTAACGACCTTGTTTTCTTTGTCCTAGAGATTGCGATGAGAAAAATAAAAAATACGAAAGAAACAAGATCTTAATAACGGTTTCTTTCTTAATTAGCAAAGGCATTGTCGCGACACTTACCGATGATTCATTTTCTTTGAAATAAGCATCGTCGAGTTTCTTAACTTCTCCTGACCCTTCTTGAATCTCTTTTGTTGGCTCAGTTGAGATATCGACAGAACGTTTACTTTGAGTTTTACCCATGTCTATTCTAGAAATATTTAAGTACATATGAATGAGAGAGAATGAATGAAAGATTATTAAGAAATATCTCCGTTGAAAATCGGTCGAGGACTTACAACAAAAACACAAAAATAAATAAAAAAATTTAACGACAACCCCAAAAATTATTCAATTAATCAAATTCAATTAAGAAGACAACAATTGACGTTTTCGATGTCAAAATTGCTGGAATTGGATGAGACAACGGACAACAATGCACAACAAGAAACGAATAAGTCGAGGAATGTTATCAGTTGCTGTTAAGTTGTCTTGTCTGTGTGTCATATAAATTCAGATAGTATTTGAACTTTGTTGTGGCATTGTGTGGTACAACCGAAGCTTCTTTATAGAATTTTCTACATTTATCAGCATCTCACTTTTTATTTAAATATTTACTCAAAGTCACAAATATAATAAAGAGAGCGATTGCAAAATTCAACTCTTTGTTTTTGTTTTAAAAATTGAGGAAAAAAAATTCCTTTTAAATATGTGTAAAAAACTTCACCGCATTATACATATGATGATTCAGTAAAAATTTCAAAACATTCATGATTCACATTTGCGCTGCTCATGTTAAGCTCCAGTTGCTGAACAAACATATTGCTCTTGAAGTGAATTGATTTTTGAACTTATAAGAATTTACAGATCGTTGTTCACAAATTTCTTTCTTCTTTTCTTAACTATTCCACAACAAAAAATTGACATTTGTGTGTGTTTGTGGGTATGCGAATGCATGTGTTAAGCATAAAATGGAAAAGGAAGAAGACAGAAGGAGAACCATACACATGAACATGACTGGATAAATATATTTTTATGTCGTGTGCAATTAAAGCAAATAGACATGATTTGAATTCTTTATAACTTAATATTGCTTCATAACTTCCGTTTACTCATGTTCGATTGAAAAATATTTAATAAGAATAAAAGACTTGCTAACGAATGATGATTTGCTTAACAAATATCTTTTTTTTTCGCGACCAACAAATATTGTCGTTAACTAGCAGAAAAATTAAATAAAGACAGCAAAATTTTCAAATATCTTTCACCAATATTAATGATGACTCATAATAAAAACCGGCTTCCTTTTTCTCTCTCCAGCATATGAAAAGTACTTTTCATATGCTCTATACACCTTCATTATGCTATTCTTTGTGTTCTTAATGTGGTTTTAAATAAACTTTTCCAACAGTACTTTAACATCATGTAAATTTTTTGGGTGGAAAATTAGCAATTTTGGATAAAATTTGAATAATTAACTAATACGAAACTCGCGATGGTCGAGAAGCCTTTGGAAAATATTCCATCAAGTTAATTTCTATTCTGAATGAAGTCATATCATTATCTTTCAAATATTTCTATTTGTTACATTTAAAAACTAGTTTGCTTATTTTTTGGGAGGTTCCAGTGACTTACCAGCTTGTTTCAACTATTTTTTTAAAAAGCGTCGAGCGAAAAATGTGTCACTTTTATTTTTTCAATTTTCAGTGTGAAAATGTTTTTTTAATTATTTACTTCAGTGTCTGCTAACTATCCGATTCTTGGTCTTTGCGTTTTAATTTATTAAACTTCACAGAGTTGATTAGCAATCACAGAAATATCAATTTTTCAAGCAGTCGACTAAGACAATGTTACACCATTAGGCAAAATCACTTTACTAGATGTCGCTGTAATCGCTGAAGGGTGCGCAAGTATGGAGTGGTTGTGAGTCGAATCCAAGCGAATTCGCGGTTGGTTTCGGTTGTGAATTTATTCAAAAAATATTCGTGATTATCTATTGCTTTGTTTTTATTAGAATGTAAAGCTTTGGTTGTTCTTATGACATCTTTTCATGCAGTGAGTGATTTGACGTTCCTATCCAACATGAAATCTAACATCAGTGTTGCAGTATTCTTCCTGAAAAGTGAGAAACATGAAGAAAAATTATGAACTTTTTTCCTGTTTGCGGAAAATTGTCTGGAAAATTATTTGCGAAAATATTGCGTAACGATGTAATCGAAAATGTTTTGATAATAATAGAACGATTGTCATAAAAATATCAATATTAAACTAAAATTCTTCTAAAGTCTATTTTAATCTGAAGCTAATAAACTTCACAAGTGCTTTTGACTCGGAAAAACAAGTGAATAAAAGTTTTCTTTTTGAAACACTTTGAAAATATAAACAAAACACCAACGCACAAAAAAATAAGAAAAATTACAAAGCGATTAAAGTATCAACTCATAGTAAACTTTTCACTTGAAAAAATAATCAAATGTCGTTGTTCTCAATTGTGTTTATCTCAAGCCCAAATTTAATTTATGATATATTTACGACATTAATCAAAAAGACACAGAATCGTTTGACAAGCAAATAAGATTTGTAAGCAAATTGAAGATAAAAATTTATGAGTCGTGAAAATACTTTAAAACTGATTTGAAAAACAGAAGAAAAATCTCAAATGTTTTACGTTCTTCATAAAATAACTTAAGTAGCTTGAATGACGTTCAAAGGGAAAAGAAAAATTAAAGGCGTACAAATTGGATGATGAATAACGTCGTTGATAGTTTTGACATTGAGTGATGTCTCAAGGGAAAACATAAAACCACAAATAAAATCTCTAAAGCTAAATGAAAATGTTTAATAAATGGGTAAAGTTTAGATGAAGAAAAAGGTTCCAAATAGAACTTCGTCATACATTATTAAGTATTTCTCGAGCAACAAGTTGACATGAAAAAAGGATGATGAAAAGGAAGTGTCAAGACATTTGTTGCCGATGAAAAATAGCAAAACAATTTTCCTAATCAATTTTCACTCAGATCATTTATGAGATTATGAAAATTTCCTTTTTTTCTTAGTCTTCTCGAACTTAGACATTGTGTTGTCAGTGTTTCATCGCGACTATGCAATACATGAGGGAAAGAATCTGACAATACCATGTGGCGATTCGATTTATCCAAGCATATGGAGACGTGATGGTAGAAACATAACAAACAATTATAATCTAATTAACGTAAGTGTCCCTCATTATCGCCATATGTTCGTTACTAATGTGTTACTAGAATAATTAGGTGATTAAATAAATTTTGATTCTACTTTCTTTCTCACGCAGGCTGACAATTCTCTTATGCTTATTGACGTTACCTCTGACGATGCAGGCCTTTACATTTGTTCTGTTTTGAAAAACTCATCTGACTCTGACGATTCATATCAAGAATATGCTTACACATACGTGAGGGTGAAAACAAGACCAGGTAAATTGTAATAAAATAAACTTTTCCTTCCCCAAAATTATAATACGGAAAGAACAAAAAACTTTTATCATTAATAATGTATCAGGTGCGGTCGGTTCGTTTCGTGCTAAGGCAACAACAATAATAGCAGTTTTAATTTGGGAAGCATGGCGAAATCGAACAGGCGGAAGTCCAATAATATATTACACAGCTGAAATGAGAAGACTGCCGGGATATTATCCAAATTATACAGAAGAGAAAGTGAAGTGGGAGAGATTAGATCCACATCATATAACACCAAATGCAAGACAACTTGAAGTGTATCATTTGAAGCCAAATACGAGCTATCAATTTCGTATTTGGGCGACGAATGATGTTGGACCAGGAGAAGTTCAAACAATCACTGCAAGAACGATTGAACCAACTCAAGAGAAGGGTTTGTTATTAATTTAATTAATGATAAATCATCATTCTTTCTAAGTGTGAAGAAACTTTCAGATCTGATTTTAAGAATCTTGGAAGATGCAAAAGAATTTGATACAAGAATTTGGATTGCAGCAGTTGCAATCGGTGAGTTGACATTTTCATAACTTTCTTTTATTTTAAACTGAAAATATTTCTTTGTGTTGATTATTTAATCGTGTTAGTCGAATTTATTTTAATTTAAATATATTCTGTTAAAAACTAGAATGAGAAAGATCGAGAATCGTTTAATAAATTTATTATTTTTATCCAATTCTTTCGTTAGTCATGGGAACTCTGCTGATTTTAACTTGTGGAACCTGTTTAGTATTATACAAAGAGTGTCATGAATATTCCGGTAAACCAAACTTGTGTTTATTCTTTAATGCACTCGCAATTGTTTTGATTTTTTGCATAGTTTTCAGCATTTAACTTTTGAATTTCTTAATTTAAAGCTTTTCGAAAAGTAGATGAGTTGAATAAGAAATTGTACAGTAAATTAACTAAGATCAAAGATAATTGTATTTTTTATTACATCTAGAGTAATAGCTGTAGTGATAATAACATTCTTTATAAAAATCTTTAGAATTTTAAGTAGAAAAATGAAGATTTGGCACGAAATTATTATTTCAAAAAGTATCAACAAATGTTCCATGCAGTTTATTACGTGATGATATTCGAAAACATTTCTTTCAACACCATTAAAAGTAGAGCACGTTAGCACAGCTTCTTTCAGCTTTAAATTGCTTTACTCAACGAATAAAAAAAATGAAGCAAAATTTAAAAAAATTCTCACGTTTACCAATTGAAAATTTTAACTAATTTTTGATATTTTTTATCTACTTTTTTTACACATTGAATAACATTTTCATAATGCTGAATGGCTGGCTTGCAAACTTCTAATTCATCTTATGGTATCAAATTATTAAATCTCTTTTTGATATTTCAATTATCTAACATTTTATTCGATTCTTGCACTTCGATCCTTGTCATGAAACATAACTTAAAATTTTACTGAACTTAACTAACTGAAGAAGATGAATCGGATATGGATCACATAGTTCAAAATATGCATGTTATATTAAATCCAGGTTTTTGTGATACCGATGACCAACGAGCGCCTTTATCTCCAATCAAAACGCATTTTTACGGTTATGGTGGACGTGACGATTATGACAAGGACAACCAAACATTCTCTAGAAAAATGTCGATTTTCTTCACAGGCAACACGATAAAACGGATATGAGTGAAGGTCTTTCCCGAAGAAGAACGTCTCATCATCAAATAGAATCACCACCCACGAAGATTTTTCCTTTTTCTATTTTCATTTAAAACAAAACCAAAACAAAAAATCTTTTTGCTAATGAAAACATTCACTTTATCTAAATTCTTTCTGCTTATGTCAAATGATAAGTTTATTGATAATGAAACTATAGAGTTTGCACTCAACATTTGTTAATTATTGCTAGTCCGTTGAACATATCTTAATAAGATTGAATTAATGGAATGTATCTAATATGTATTGACTTTTATAAATAATCGCAGTCTATATCTTCTAAAACCATAAACCTTCCCTCCCTTTTTGCATTCTAGTCGTTTCCGAAGGAATATGAAAATAGAGATGAAAAAAAAAGAAAAATAATTCGAATTGCCTTGTAATGATGACGAAAGTTTCATACTTGTTTGTTGATATCAAAGCATTGTAGAGACATTTGTTAAGCTGGGACTTTCTGTCCTATTAAACATAACTACTACTGAATATGTTGATATTGTGATTGAAACCGAAAAATACATTTTTGATCTGATAATGCTATAATCTAGCTGCACTTTTTGTTGCGCAAAAACATATAACTATATCAATCTCACATAAACATATTGTGCCTATAAATAATTAATTTGAACCATTATAACTTTAACTAACTTTATACATGGATATTTTCTCATCATTTCTTCTTCTTTTTAGACGTTTAAGAAGCTAAAGCAAGTTGAAAACCCTTTTTGTAAATATTTAAGACTTCTTGAATGAAAAACTCAGTCTGAAAGTTGACTAAAATCTAGTTGAGATCGCTTTGCCCACCAAAGATTAGATATTAATATCTACAATAATGTGTGGTTTTAAATCACAAAATATTTCATTAATTACTTCAATTTAAAATCAATCCTAGAAAGGATAAATTGATAATTATTTTAAATAAATTTTAAGAGAAATTTTTAAAATCGGCCTAGAAAGTCCATTATTCAAATAGATGATTAGACAAATAAATAATTAAAGAAATGCTTCCATTAAAGTTTATTTCAATTCGCTTAATTATTATTGGAAAATTGTTCAAACTCACAGAAATTATGGACATGAATAAACAATGATATGAATTTTAAACTAAAAAGTTTGTTGGATACACGGAAAACTGGTGCAGCAATTTAAGGGGAGAAACAAAAGAAATTAATTGTTATTAATAGTTAAATATTTGAACAAATGAACAAAGAAAATTAAAGAATTTATTCCGCTTTGACATAAAAGTTCCAATTTATTTTGAATAGTAATAAAAAAAGAATTTCTTCATAACAAATATCACGTAAATATTTAAATTGAAGAGCACGAACTTTATAAAAATGGCACATGCCTTGTTTCAATGCCGAAAGATGTAAGAAAATATCTGAAAGATGAAAAGATTAACTTCTTAAAATATCAATTTTAAATCAAGAATAACTTTTATTTACATTTAACAGCTTTAAAGCTTTTGTAATATGCGTAAGCAATAAAATAAAAAATAAAAGCAATTGAATTTATCAATCGAGAAAGAAGAACAATTAAAAAAATTCTATCACGGCGTGTTTTCGAATCCTTTGTTGTCGAAGCCATTCGAGTTTGTCTTTGCTTCTTTTTCAGCATTCATGTTCACATTCTTCCTGATTTTTATGTCACTAAGCTTCTTAGTGTTGTCAGAGAAGTGAAGCTCAATTTCTTCTAATGTTCGTCGTTCAGTTTCAGGTACAAACAAGTAAATATATAAAAGTCCGACGATGTCAAATGCGGCATAAAGTGCGACAACTCCAAAAAGTGTTAACGACGTTTCGAGATTGTAATAAGTTTTTGTTGTGCAAAATGCCATAATGTAATTCAATGCGGCAGTAATTCCAGTCGCAATACTTCTCGTTCTAAAAATATAAGAAAACAAGTTTCATTGAATTAATCGATATCACGATTCAAAATAAGATTTACTTGAATGGAAAGACTTCAGACAGCAACATCCATGGAACGGGCATCAATCCTAAACTTGTGAAGAATGCCAAAGCATAAATGCATGTAAGTGGAATGTATCCGAGTGTGTTATGACTGTCAAAGTTATGTTTATCAAATGAAGTCAATCCTGGTGGAAGCACAATGTATGCATAAACGGCTAATGATGAGATGCTGACACAAGTTCCCAACATTGAAATTAAAGCAATTTTCCTTTTCCCAATTGGCTTAATGATTATCGTGCACATAATGTTGGCAGCAAATCCTAAAATTCCAATCACAACTGTTGCCCATGATGCATCAATCGGAACAGCAAACGCTTGGAATATTTGCACGAGGTAAGGTCGCATCGCTGATAAGCCGCTGAATTGACAGAATAAAAACATTGTCATGACAAGCGAGAAAGGCTTTAAAGTTCGCTTCCGGAAAAGTTCCTTGAGAAGTTCAATGGTAGATGCTGATTTATGATTACATTTCACATCAGATTTCTGACACGAGACACAACGATTTGAGTCTGAACTATATCTTTCAATCTCTTTAAATTCTTTCTCGACAATTTTCGGATCTGACACCCATCCACGAAGCCACATTAGGCTTTTCATTGCGTCTTCCTTTCTATTCTTTGCCATCAACCAAAAAGGTGTCTCAGGAACGAAACAAATTGCAATTGCAGTTGTAATTGGCACAGAACAACATATCAGTGCTGTTAGTCTCCATGTTGTTATACTGCCAAGAAAATAAACTAACGAAAATCCCAACATAACTGCAACACCCGCACACGATGTTAGAACACCTCGAATACTTGGCTGACAAATTTCTCCGACATACGTTACAATCGGTGCTTCCATAAAACCTGATAAATAAATTTAATGGCATTATAAGTGCAAGATTAATTCAACGTAATCTGATACTGACCTACTCCAAGTCCAAGTAGAACCGCTGTAATCATCAGAAAATTGTATGATAATTTAATTTATAATGCTATTAAGATTAAAACTTCAAAGCTCACCAGCTATATAAATATCCGTTAGAGAGCTTGAATAACTAAGTAAAAGCCATCCCACGATATGTGGTGCATTGACAAGTATCATAGATTTCTTCCTCCCAAGTGGCTCCAAAACAATTCCACTTGCCACGCTGCCAATCGGTTGAAAAATGAAAGCAATACTGGCTGGAAAATTTTTCAAAAATTATTTTTCTATTAATAAAATATTGAATTTCATTTCATACTCACCAAACCATGAAGCTTGAACGTCTGTCAAAGATAAAATGTCATTGTTGTCGTGAGCTTTCAAGCCCCTCAAGGCTGGAATGACAATTGTTGGAAAGGCAACAGCCATTCCGAGATCCAACAGTAAAAGATTCTTTGCTGTACTTGCTAAGACTTGTGGGAGAATCGTTCGGAATTTTCCGATAGTTTTTTCAGGTTCATCAGCTTTATCAGTCTCATTCATGTTGAAACTCTATCTAAAATAAACAAAGATGAGTTTTGAAATAATTTTTATGCAATGATTTTGTTTCTTTATGTTGTGTTCTTTTCATTAGATTTCAACGCTTGGATAAGATTTGAGTGTTGACTGAAGTGACAATTATAAAACGAGAATTCATTACGTCGTTCGTAATTATCAAATAAAAGTGTTTACGAAACTATTAAAAGCATACATCAACAATGCATCATGAGTTAGTTTTCTTATCATTTTTTTTGAGACATTTAGAAAAATTTTTGTTTTAAGTGAATGATTAAAGGTTATCGATATGACTCTGAGAAAATAGTAAATATTTATTGAACAAATGTAAACAGAGTGTAGAGATTTTTTCTCTTTTAGTTGCTCGCTTATGTTAATACATAAATATAAACATTCCTATATGTATTTTTGATATAACTTCTTTCATAAGTGGAATAAAAAGAGCGTAAAACTTGTTTTATGACAGCAAAATAAAAAACCATCATAAGACTTTGAACCTTTTTACATACAAACTGGCAATAAGTTGTCATTGAAGACGTAAACATTAATGGAAAATCTGCCAAATGATATAAAAACCAAAACAAAATGCAAACCGGTACATTTAGCAAAATACCAAAATATATTTTAATGTTAATCGAATTGATCTTTCTGCCAATTTTTTGCAACTCCCCAATTCGAAGAGTCAAAGTTGCGATCATTGTTGTTCGGAACAACTTTTTTCATATAAATGTTTTGAAATATCTAACTAAATTATAATTGTTTGGACATTATTGTTTTTTATGACTTCATAATTATAGCAGTAAAAATCTCAAAGTTATAAAATGAATCTCAGGAAGTTGTAAGTCCTACTTCACTTCTTATTAGATTCTAATTTTTGATACTTTTATCAATATCAATTATTGACACAAAATCAACAATATTTTTTATGTAAATACAATTTTCATGGCACAGTCACTTTCAAATTCATTAATCATTTGTTGCTCATTGGAAAAAAAATCCCGTGATTTGCTATTCAACGGCAATGGGTTTATTTTTGCGGAAGACTCACAATGAGCACTGTAATTGTTTTCTTTTTTTTGTCAACTCTTCATTTTTTGGTAGCATCAACATTTCAATTGATTAAGACCTTGAAGGGGTTACGTTCCCGTTCAGATCACCAAATCCAATGTTAAAGTTTAACGCTCACTTCAATTATTATTATTTTTCTATTTACAATGTCGGCTGTTAAGAATTGCTTAGACACTTGTTTGTTAGTTAATAACCTCACGATTTTTTACGCAATGTTGTAGTTTACTTATAATGATTGAAAGCGAAATCTAAACAATTACACAATTTGATCTTTTAGAATGTGATGACATACTTTTAACTTTTTGAATTCAATAACAAACAAAAAAAGAAACTTTCATGTAAAACAGCCACGATTTGCACGAGCTGTAGTAAAAAATAAACAACTGAGCTGAGCCACGAGTGGAAATAAACTAAAGTTGTTGTTGAGATCGCATTCATAATAGTTTTTAAGATATTTTATTTAAAGCATAACTTAAACGAGCTTTTGGAGAGAAGCACTGCAGAGAGAATTGAGAAAAATCAGCTGAACTTCAGCTATCACTTGTGATTTGCGCTCACTGAAAGCTTTTAAAGTTTAATGATTGCTGATCACTTTGATAATCTTTTTAATTTTACTCATTTGTCATGTAACTTCACTATTAAAAATTTATCTAAAAATGAAATGAATCTTTTTTGTAATGGAATAAATTACATGCGGAAATTTACTTGAAAGTTTCGATCGCATCATGAAAAAGCTTTCATGCATTGCAATGAACTTGGTATGAAAATTGATGCTTCATTGTAATTTCATTATACTTACAAATATTAAAAGATGTCTTAGTGAGTAAATATTTAAAGATATTATTTAATTTACCCAGATACCTACTTTGAATGCTTTTATCATGTTTTTGGTATTTGATGAAGAGAAGTGTCGAACAGATGCTTGCCGTTTTCATTTCATTGCCGTTTTATAAATATAAAATTTTCTTGAAACTTGAGTGTTTACATGATAATTTCTGGAATGGCTTTTAGAACTTTGATGATATCAATCACCTTAGGTTGAGTTCAAAAGATTTAAAAAGTATTAAATTTCAAGGTTTATGTGATAGATTTTTTTGTTGTATTTACTTGAATTACAAGAACTTTTAAAGAAAACTTCCCAACAACCGTGGTTTTCATTTCATTTCTCGAGATGACTCAGCTTACAAATATGATTTCTTCAAAAATGAACTAGATACGTGAAGAAACTTAAAATTCAACTAACTTATCATACCATTCTTGTTGTTACATTGTTGCGCTACCCAGACGCAATAAATTTTTTGATAGTGTACTGTAAATATATTTACTTCTTTGAAGAGAAACGCAAATACCTACAATGATACAACGATAACCTTGATGATAACTTTATCAGTGGAAAAAATGGAGGTTGGAACTCAGACCGTTTTTGCTTAGTAACATAAATTGGACATTCATGACTTCATATTTTTTTATTGATTTGCTACCTTTTTCATAAATTAAAGGTATTCAAATCCAACTGATTAGAGCTCGTTCTGATTCGTTTCTGAAAGCTTTCGAACATAAAATGATACAAATTATTCACATAGGAAGATTTCTTTTCATATACAAATTTATTCTTGATGCCCCCTGACAACAAAAACTCCGAAACGTTGTAATTGGAGCTATGAGCTCATATAGTGGAATTATAAAAATTTAAACCCTCATAAAATTTACGATGGTGTACTGTACGATTACTTTGAAAAGAAACGAAAATTCTAGATGCAACAGTAACCTTGATGATAACTTTATCAGTGAAAAAATGGAGGTTGGAACTCAGGCCGTTTTTGCTTAATAACATTGATTTGACATTCGTAATTTCATATTTTTTTATTAGATTTTTAATCTTATTTCCAAGATTGTATGTTTGCTGTGGGTTTGAAATTTTATATTCCCGACAGCTGTGTGAGCTCATAGCTTCGATTATAACGTTCCGAAGTTTTGTTGTCAGGGGGCATCAAGAATAAATTTGTACTTTAAAGGAGATATTCCTATAGGAATATTTTGTTTCACTTTATATTCGAAAGCTTTCGAGAAACGAGTCAAAACGAGCTCTAATCAATTAAGTTCGGATGGCAGATAACACGAAATCTTTTCAACTCATGAGAGAATTATTCCTTTCTTTATAAATTTCACTTCTTCGTGAAGCGAGCATCAGTCAATGTTTAAAAATCATTTGAGAAGGTTTCTCTAAATAATAAATTAAAAAAGGAGTTTAAATTAAAAACATCAACAAAATTTAAAAGAAATTTATGCTAATAAAGAATTAGTTAAATTATTCAGAAATTAATATCAATAGGAATAAAAATAAAAGAAATTAATCATGTCAAGTGTTATGCAATATATGGTAAGAGTTTAAAATTGTAATAATAAAAATACTAACAAGAGTTATGTTTCGTAACATCGAATGACATACATTTGAGGAGATCACGCGGCATATTTAAATTTCTCTATCAGTGCTCAATCAAAATAACTTTTCAAGTGACAAGTACATACTTTTGATAATTTTAGAAGAAGAAAAATAAGAAGTAATTATCGCTTTTGGGGGTCTGTTTACTTCCTTATCTGAGGTTAAAAATAATTCTTAAGTAGGTGAACCTAGGAATTGCTTTATTGCTGTGTTTAAGCTTGAGATTTTTTTGTTTTTAATTTAAATTGATTGAAATGCTTGTTTACTGCTTACTTGAAAATTAAAAACACTGAATGCCAAAGACCCAGGAAAGACAAGATTTCGTTATCATCCTTAATAAGAACAACATTTTCGTAACTTGCTTTCCTAAGTTTAAACACAAAAAAAAATCACATTAACGGCGACTCGAGGCAATTCCGATAATTTTAATGGTTTTGTTGATGAGTTTTGACATAATTTCTTCGTAAAGGTCGCAACAATTGTAGGAGTAAATAAAAACATCAACTTCAGCTAAAGCATTCACACACTTGATTTATTTATTGATGATTCATCTCAAATGCTATTTTTAAAAATATCCTTGCAATTATAAGTAATGTGTACACACGAAGTAATTACCCATAATGATTATCTCTCAGACAAAACATCCCATTCAAGATCAGACGCGTGTTAATGAGCCAAAATTGTCGAAATAATTAAGTGGAAAATGTCTATAGATTACAAAATTAATGCTCGAGCTGATATTCTATCTCTCATGTTCATACAATTGAATGAATTGTTGGATTAATGAATGAGTAGTCGAAAAATTCGTTATGAAAAATCACACAATTTAAAGTTCACGATCAATTAGCTATCAAGTTTTAATTAATTGAAATAATTTCCGCCTTATCACAACATTCCAAGTGAAATGCACATGATTCCAAAGCTTTTTAATTTTAATCCTTCTTATCATGATCGGTCTCGACTTAAACGTGACTGCCTTCATGATCAACTTTTGGCACGAAATGGGTGTGAAAACGATTATGATGTTGAAAGAAAAAATGGTTCGCTTATCTCGTAAGCAATTGAACAGACTTTGCCATTTCACGAACCATCGATTCGCAGCATGATCACTTTATTGATAACGAAAACGAGTAGACACTTTACACTTTGTTTGAAAATATTTATTTATTTACTGAAACTGAAAAAAAGGAGCAAGTTCTGAAAAAATTAAAAGCTTAGCGTGAACTTCGATACGATGATGAACAAACAGTCTTTAATTTAAAATTGGCTGATGAAATTCGTTAAGACACAAAATAATTCGTTTTTTTTTATTAATTTATGCTTACAGGCACGCAGACGCTTTGTGATCGTCTCGTCAATCTTATTACTGCTGATATCAAACTCAGTTACGTGTCGACCTTCAACACATAAGTCCAACAAACTTCAATCCATAGGATTCCAGAAAGCTTACGACACTTCGGCAGAAGATAGTCGAATCGAAATGTGTAATCAAGACGTAAATTTGAACGAGATGTGCCAGAGGTGCGAGAAAAGCATGGAAAGTAAAACCGGTGATGTGTTCGCCATGTGCTGTTCAAACGAAGACCAAGCGACCGATTTTTGTCGCAAATATGTATACTATGGAGTGACGACCTAAACGAGCATCTTAAATCATGCTGACCTTTTCAGCTGAGAATTATTTATTAAACTTTTCATTTGAACCTTAATGTGCATCACATGAAAGTGTGATCGGTTAAATATAAAAAATGATTACTGTGATATTTGTCATGTTACCTTCATGGTGCCACATTTATAATTACGTAGTTCTAATAGAATATCAAACTATTTTAATCATAAACAATTAAATATTTCAATTCTCACAATTTGTCATTGGAAATATTTGTTAAATATTTTATTTTTCTTTTGGAAATCGTTCCGGATGTAAAGTTAAACTAAGTAAATAGTTCGCTCCAATAAATTTTTATAGTCTTGTTGATGAAACCAAAAATATTTGTTTTAAATTAATTTTCAATTTCAGACTTTACGGCGTCGAAAAAAATTAAAAAAATTACATTATCGCTGCTTTGTTCTTTCATATTCAAAGTCATTTTATTAACACAATTATGATTGGATGAAGTTGAAGGATTTTGTTTATAAGAAGTTGATATTGCTCTCATTAAACAATCTTTTTAAATTGGAAAACAAAAAGAGAAAAGTTTTATTCAACAAATTTATTTTGAATCTTCTTAATTTCTAAATTCAAAAAATGTTTAAATAGGTATTCATAAAAATGTCTTTAAATTACTAACCAAAAGTGTCGCTGTTAAGCAACTTCATAAGCCAACGCTACTCGTCATTCCATTTTTTAAAAGCATTTTCAATATAATATTTAATTATTATAAGTAATTTATTAGTTGTAAAGAAATTGTTCAACAGAGCTTCAGTTTTAAACTTATTTAACGTACAAGAACAAAGGAATATTTGTGTTGCGCAAAAATATCTTTAAAAAAATAGAGAAAGGCTCGAAAAGATGAGCTTCATGAAGAGAAGCTTCTGGAAAAAAGATCTTTGTTGCTTCTGCTTAACCGATGAATAAATTGAAACATTGATCGGCTACCACATGATGAACTTGTTTACTTTCAAGTTTAATCAGCTTTTCTTGTTGTGCGGCGTTTACGAACATCGGGACTACCCTTTGGTGATGGTTCATTGACCTCTTCCTCCTCTTCTTCATCATCGCTTCCAGAGTATTTTTCGGCATCTGAAGTATCGTCATCAGGTCCAGTGTCATCAACGATATCTTCATTTATAGCTTCATTAGATCTTCTTATGAGTTTCTCCTTCTCTTGAGTTTCTGAGAAGCTTTGACGGTTCATTGGTTTTTGCGGCCAAATGAAATCAATAATGCAGACAAGTATAAGACCAACAACAGCTCCAAGGATGATTGTAATGAAAGCAAAAATTCCATAGCAAACCCATGTTGGTAATCCATATTCCTTCGACAACATGGCATTCAATTCCTGCAAACAAATGATTTATTTATGATCACAATTTAAAAGTAAAATATTTCCATTTAATATTACTTTCAGGAAATGTGATAGTTTGAAGAACCATGAGAGAATGCTCATTGGAATGGAATCAGGTCGCTTCCAGCTCTCGATAGGTTCAAGTGTTTTCCATTTCTTTTCCTCAACAAAAGTCATGAATGAGTTCATGTCACGCGAGCCGGTGTAACGACGGAATTTCCCTTCAGTGACATGAAAGATTGTAGGCAAGGCGGTGACAAAGAAACGACCAGACAAACCAGGATTATCACTGTAATTTATATAAACATCACCATCACGAGCTCGTTGAGTAAATATTTAATTATATTAACTTACACAACATCAACTTTTGCAACATTAATTGATAAGTCATCACTCCATGAACCGAAGTCGTTCCAAATATCTTCGAGATTCTTGCAAGCTGGACACCATGGGGCAAAACTAGAATAGAAACAAAAACAAAACATTTGGAAATAGTTGCTGATGTTTGCTTTTGTTCATCAATTATTAATTTAAAATCGATGAGTGCATGAATGAAATTGCGGTCATAATATTGAAAGCATCTTTTACTTTCTGTGAAAATCAAACTTCAAATAAGAAAATTCGATGAAATTTCCTTAAAAATCCAGTTTTATGACTCATAACCTTATTACTAGTTTGAGTACCGGAGAAATGTGTTAAAACTTACAATTCAACCATCCATTCGCCTTCTAATAATTCCTCCCAATTGTTTTCATCCAGTTCTACTACTCTTGATGATACTAAGTTTATAGAAACTACTAAAATACACAAAAGAATGACTGGACTTTTCATTTTGGAAATCTTAAATTCTTGTGCCACAACGAAAGTAAATGACGTCTCAAATTTTTCTTAATGTTTCAATGTTTTAAACATTGTTGGTGTTGTTACAAGAAGGAGTCGAATGTCTGACATCGAAAATATGTCAAATTTCTTTTATGAGTTCTGCTACATCACTAGATGTCTGAAAATAATCAAATGAGTATCATTTCATTCTTGATTTTAATAAATTTACATATGTTTGATTCGTTGATGCAATAAATGAAAAAAAATAAATCAAAAACATTCAGAAAAATTAACGTATAAAATATGTTCAAAAATTAGTCCGAACGATTCCATTCAACCTAAAGAAATTTACTCAAAGGTTGCTCTTGTTGTCTTTTAACCAATTAGAAAATTTTAGTTTTTAAATATCTACATCATTTAATGTGTTTTAAACATATTTAAAGTTCTTGTTCATAAATTATAAAAGTGATATAAAATCTGAAGATAGTTTCAGAACGCAGTAAAGTTTTTGTTTGTTCCCACGTCATAATATTTTAACGTGATCAAGATTCTACTTTAACGACGATCTTTAAATGAAGATTCATCACATATTTTAATTTATTTATAAATTATTTATACAATGAGAAAGCTTCCTGACAGATGGCTTGATTATAAAGCAATTGGCGATGTCGTAGCTAATTCAAGTTTTGTTGCATTTAAAGTTCCTTTGCGTAAGGTAAGTTTCCTTCCCATTGGTGCTTGTTAATCTTCGAAAATATAAATAACAAGAGACCATGAGCATAGCTTTGCATTTTATATTTGATAGTTTAGATTTAATTTATTGAAGAAAGAAGAAAAACGTGACTGCACAATAAGAGATCACATTGAGGTCGAATTGCTTCATGGAACTCAACATTATTAAATAATTGTCGCACCTTTAATTCCATTACTTTACTAATGACATGATATCAATTATTTATCTTTAATAAATGGTAATTTTTTATCATTCTCACGTCTCTCAACTCTTAAATCAGCAACAAAAAAACTTCTTTACATTATTTTAATTTTCATTCTCGCGTGAACTTTTTCTGAATATTTTGTAAACATTCCAAAACATCAATTTTGATAGAAATCGAAAATCTTCTGCTTCTTATTGGCATTTATTATCGATGATCAAAGATTTTGTCACACACACACATAAGTTATATTTTTAATTATAAGAAATATTATTAATATCTCATCTGTCCTCGATCCAAACATTTGGCAAAATCGTTTCTAATCTTCTATGACATTTTTAGTGACATAATCCTATTGAGATGGCTTTCGGGCATTAAACCATATCTTTAAAATCACATGAGATGTTGATCAGCGGCTATTTCTTAATTTTGTTTGTAGAAAGATTCAAGGAAAGATCGTCTAAATCGTTTCTCTATTCAAAATCGAATATATTTTTTTTAAATAGTCGATTAAGTTGACACAATATTTTATTGTCTCAAGAAGTTTCCTCTAAACGGTATTAACAAACCGTAACAAAGACCATCGTTTTTTTTCTTGTGTAGATGAAAGAAAGAATTAAAAAAGCATGTAACATTTAAATGTAAGGATTTATGACCTCAACAAATTTGTCATTTGAAATTGAAAAACATAATAATGTCCAAGTTGAACAGCGTCAAATTATCATCTCCAGATATTCACTCGTTTATTTTGAATGCTTTTTTACAAATGAAAAATAATAATAAAAAACTGAATCAGTTTCGTTAAGACACATATAAAGAATCTTTTGATATTTTCGATTTTAAATAACTATAATCTGTTAACGAATGTGTGTTGTCTTCGAGGCTCGATTTATGCTGGTTTTTATATTTTTATCTCTCTTTTTTTGGGGCGATAGAAGCGCACCCAAAGGCAGTAAGAAAAGGCGAAAAACTAATAAAAAACCGCATTCGAATCGCTGATATATATTTTTGTGTTTTAAGAAAAATGAAATGCACAAACATACGCCCTTCGTTGATTTGAAGATGCTTCGGGATGCCCCACAAAACTGAAAGAAATCGCATTTTATTTATTGTTTTTATGTTGTGTTATTGCCATTGCCGAAGCGCGAGAAATGAAATTTACACTTGAATTAGTTGCGTTCGCGGTAAAAAAAAGGCAAATTGTAAGAAACAACATAAAAAGAGTTTTTTTATTTGCTGTTGAACATGATACAATTCACACTATCAAGCGCTTTATATCTTTCAATTAATTTATTTAAGGAATCTCTCGATTGAATTCGTGCGAATTTTGTTTAATTTCGCGCTTTGCGAAATACCGAAGCGCAAACAAATATTCATCACTTAAGGTGTTTGCCTTTTTAATTAAAAGAAATAAATGCAATGTTTTAGATTGATATTCGGCTATTACTTCTTGAGAAATATTTTTGCTTTTTTTAATTTTTACTTAATAGTAGTGTCTCGAAACTCCATCGAAACAAAGCGATTGGAATGAAATAAGAAAGAAAATAAAATAAAAATCTTCAGACACAACTCGAGAGAAATATAACTTGCGTTTAGAATCTATCTACCTAATTTATTGATTTGAAAAGGTTTTTAATCGTAATGAATTATGCTTCTTTTCTTTATCATTTACGATCTCACTCAATGGATTGTTCATTTGTTATTTTAAATTTAGAACACACAGAAATATTATATTTTTTTAATCATTATTATGAAACAACAACAACAACAGCATGTTTTAGTTAATTAAAATGCCTTTCATCCTCTAACTTCATTATAAAAAAGGAGATGAAGAGAGATAGTTAGTTGAAAAATGTGTCCTATGCATGTACCTTCACTCACTCACTTACAAGCTTGTAACAAAAACTAAATAAAATAAACCTCACCCGTCGTCTGAAAGGAACGTTGAAAAGAACTTTTGTTTGTCTTCGGACTGGTGCTATTGATGATGTTGTAGGAACTGACCTTATTAAAGTGAAACCATTTCATTTTCGACATTCAAAGTTGAGATAAAAGCTAAAAGGTGCAAATCTGCAAAGAATTCCTTTTATTTACTCAGTTCTCTTCTGTTCGGTTCTTTTTCTTGCTGTTGCTTCAGTGCATTTATGGTTTTCTTTTTTCTTTTTTGCTTGTTACCTATTCATAGACAAAACACACAAATTTGATGATTTATTTCCTGCTGGTTATAGAAAAAATAGAGAAGAAAATAAGAAGTGTAGAAAGATGACAATAAATTTCTTCTTCGAATGTGTTTTTTTTTTTGTATCTTATTCACTTTCCATCTCTCTTTCCCTTCCCTCCCTCCCCCCTTCGTCATTGTGCGGTTTTTAAGTTAGTTTCATTTCCAAGAGGTAAACTGTTTGTCGTGAATCGATGTCGTGTATATCTTCAATTTAAATGTGTGGTTGGTTCTTTAACTTGAACGTTTCTTTCGAAAGAACGAACGACGATGACGAAGATGAAAGAAATGATTGAATTGAACAAATAGAAGCAAAACTGATGTTGCCAATTGAGAAAGATTCGATTTGAAAGAAAGAAAAAAAGCCCCAAAAGTGGGTTTGTAAACGTTTCATTGACGTTACCTTACGTCTATAAATTACCGCATTGGAAGAAGACAACAACAAAAGAATTCTTGCATTCCTTTTAATATTGTGCAATGAAAGCATCTCTCTCTATTCTAAACATAGCATAGCACGATAAATTTCACGCTAAATCTTGAGAATAGAAAAAGAATTCATTTGAATAACAAGCGGAAGTGAATAGAAAAGTGAGAGAAAGCTTTTCATAGTCGATAACAATGCACATAATGACTTGATGTATTCATACAGTTTCCCCTTTTCTCCTTTGTTTCTTTACAGGATGTTTTTGAAAACCTTCCAAGACTCGAGAGGTAAGAAAGATGTTTCACATTTCGTTATGGCAATTGGGAAGGAAAGAAGAATTAAGTTAAAAATCTTTAAACATCTACATTTTCAGACACACAACGGACGAAGTTGCAAATAGTTTGAATAATCTTGGTCTGGTCATCAATCTTACAAACACAAAATCAAGCTCAAAATATTACGATCCTAATGATTGGAGGCGATATAATATCGAATATAAGAGGATTAAAACGCAAGGTATGTCGGCTTCTCTCGGTAGCTTTATATCTCAATTATCAACATTAAGTTAACAGTTGTCATCGTTAGCTATCTATTATTAAAGTGACGATAAAAGAACCACTCAAAAGTATGACAATAATCAATATACTATGGGGAAGTGCAAAAGCGATAAAGCTGTCAATCTTAAACACATGTCAATCGTTCTTTTTCTCATATTTTTCTCTACTATTGAAGTTCTTTTACAATAAATATTCACGCATGCAGGCAGACAATCAGACAGGGACATTCATGAAGTCACAAAGCTTTGATGTTTGATCGAATGACAAATGACAAAACATTTGTTACTGAAAAGTCTTTTTTGTCTGTTTTCCGTCAACACAAGAGAAATTAAGTTGAATTGATTAATTGAGAAATCATGTTTAATCGGCTTCAAATTGTTTACGTTCAAAAGAAAAACAAAACTTCCTTCCTTCCTTTTTATCGGTTCTAAAAACTTCACTACTTCAATAACATTGAAAAATAATCCGATTACAATTAATTTGATGAGTTTTGAATGCTTTTCAGGTCATGTTGTGCCCTCACAATCGAATCTTGTTGATTTTTGTGCCACTGTTAAAAAGTTTCTAATGAAAAGTCCGGGTAAGAGACGACAGACAGTTAAAGTGTCTAAATAACTGTTTTCATGTCACATAAATCAATATTTTATTCTGTTTACAGAAAAGCTTGTGGGAGTTCATTGCACACATGGATTGAATCGAACGGGTGAATTTAAAGAAGAAATGAAATTTTAAGAAACTTATTTTTGTTTTTCCATTCCAAAACAGGATATTTTGTCTGTTCCTACATGGTCTTGTGCAACAATGTGTCGCCATCAGATGCTCTGAAAAGTTTCTGCGAAGCACGAGGACATGAAATTGAACGACGGAATTACGTAAATGCTGTCAATAATCATGAATCTAATGTTGAACTTCAGAGAATTATTAGGGATATTGATTTATATGCGAATGAGGATGATGAAAGGCAAAGCAATCGTAGTAGAATTCGAGAGAGAAACCGGCACAGTTCTTGGAATTATCCCGAACCTTGGCGAAGGCAGAATGATTATCACGAAAGAAGACCTGAAAGAAGTTTCATTTCACGACCACCTCGAAGACATTATTCTCCTTTCTTCCATCGTGAATCACACTGGCGAAATAGAAATCGATACGATGTTGACAGTTGGGATAATGAATGGAGTTGGACTCGGATGGGAACGATGCCTTCTCGTCGTCCTCAGAATTATTAAAGATCCCTTTTTTTCAATAAAAATCTTCGTGAGTTTAACGAATAAAAAGGAAAACTGTTTTCTTATGCTTCTTTAGTGATTCACCGTTGCATGAAAATTTAACGAAGAAGAAGGAAAAATTCCTGAAATTGTTCCTGTGGGTGCATTAAAAATGTTTAGAAAGGGGCGATGAATTGTTTATTTGCAAGACATTTTTATTCCTTGTGAGACTCTGAAATCATAAATGAAGCTTCTTGTGTGTAAAAGGGACAATTTAAAAGTTATGTGAAGTTTTTCCACTCTCAATTGTCATCAAAAATAATAAAAAATCTCAGCATGTCATTTGGTTTTCTGATTAAATTTTTGATCATTTAAATTTCAGTAAATTACGACAGTGAGAAAGCATAAAGTTCCAGTAGTTAATAGCTTTGGATTTATTTAAAGCAAGAAAAAGAAGATTTTTCCATCATTTCATAAATTACAAACTGCTATGATAGGATAAAAGTAGTTGAGACAGCTAAACAGCCATTTAAAGCTAAAATATGTTGGAGGTTGATTCATAATTAAAGAAAACGAGTTGCTGTGGATTTAGTTTTGTCATTAATTACCAGATATCAACTTTAGACTTCATTTAATCAACAAATGATACGTGACGTGATGCACTACTAACTTCTCTTATAAATATTTATTATAATAAATTCATAAATATTCCGCAAAAGGGAAAATCGTTAAAAAAATTGAAACACGTCCGACCAATCTTTCATTTCTTATTTCACTTTTTAATCCTTCTCTCATCTCATAAAGCCGCGCGCTGCATCAAAATGAAGAAGAAACCGAATTGCACTTCTTATAATTAAATATCCATTTCAGTTTGCCGACTAAATGGAAGAATATCAGATGAAATCATTTTTTTGATTTACAAAGAAAATACAATTAAGAATTTGAGTAATAGTGACTGCGTGACGTTACTGCCAAACACGCGCGTGTACAAACCGGCGGAATCCAATCCAATTTCTGGATGGATGAGAGAAAAGGAGAGACGAAGTTTAAAAACGACTGAAATATGCGCTAAATGAAAAAATCACGAACTCTTTCTTCACTTTTAATACTTTTATTTCATGCATCTTATGGGAATTCACCTTCTTCTTTATTATTACATATTTCCATCTGATTTTGTGAAGTCAGAACATTGCATTTTATATTTTGTGTTCTGCAACATATTAAATTTCCTTGCCAACGTTTCGCCATACATATAATTTACTCTTCTCCATCAACCATCTCGCACCAAAGCCAATTTATGCCTTTTAATAATGAATAAATAAATTTAAACAAGCTAAAAGGCTGCCATTTCGTGTATTAATAATAAATAATTAGATTGTGATAAATGAAACTTGCTTAATAAAATTACGCTGCACTTTTGATGCCTTGAGTAAGTAAGTGGATGAACGAAATATTAAGAACGACGATCTTTCCCAAATTTCTTGTGGAACAAGACAAACGTGATAAATTTTTATTACAATGAGTTATTTTTTTCGGCATTTCTCCTTTTCATCGAGTCCATTGAGAGTTTCTTCATGGTGCAGTTTCGGCAACACGATGAATTTGAAATTTCCGAAAAAAAAAGAAAATAAGAACACCAAACGATAAAATAACATCATCATTTGGAGTTTTATGAGTTTTCTTCCATCTCTCAATAATATATTTGTTGAACAACATAAAAGACGACGACGCACAACAAGCAATAAACTATTTCGAAGGCTATAAACGTCAACGAATCTTGACAGCTTTCTTAAGCTTTAACAAAAGAAGAAAAGAATGTTGCGCACCAGACCGACAAAACATGTTCATAAATGTCCTTTATATGATAATTAAAAGATGGTGAGGGGGAGATGGGCAATAATCTTCCAAGACTGCACATGACAGAATCGTATCATATTTTTTATGAGCTTGCAAAGTGCGCCTTTCGACTTCATAAAAAAAAGAAAGAGAAAGATGAATGAATAAAAAAAACTTTCAAAAAGCACTTAAATGATGTGTTGGGAGTATTGGCAATGCCTCCCCTCAGACGTTCATTGTCCACTGACTTGTCCCGAAGCCAACAACACATCTTCAAACAATAATAATAAAATAACATACCGAACAATAAATAAACAAGTAATTAAATATATGTCATTAAGCATAATATATCCCAAAATAAATGTTATTACGGTCTCGACAATGGGAGGGCATCAGCAAATGGGGTTTGCTTTTAAAAGAGAGAAGGAGAAAACCGTTTCCATTAAGATTTAAGATCACTTATCATGTTTATCTTACAAAGAAAGCGAGAGAGTAATCAGCACAGCTCGCAAATTACCAACGAATGATGAATGATGATTTGTTAAGAATTTATCAATCATTTCATCGGGTTTTGCCTTTACTCACTCCATCAACATTCTCCATCAAATTGAATTTTATTTACTTGCTGAAATGTTCAGTAAATAAATGTTGTTGAACATGCTGCATGTTCCATTTCAAAGATGCACTCCCCGAGTTGTTGCAAAAGAGAAAAATTATCCATAAATATCTTCTCAAAGTTGTTATAGAAATGATATTAAGAGCTTTACAAAATATTATTATTGCTTTTTATTAATGTCGATTTGAGACATAAATAAATTATGATTTGTGCGAGACTTCACACACGAAAACGAAACGCTGATCTGAATCGAAGAATTATTGCAGATTTTTTTGGTTGAAATATTTTGCCGCGTTGTTCTCAGGAAAGGATAAAAGCTGTTGTTATGCTAAATGCTTTCGCGAGATAATATTCAATATAACATAAAATGTATGTTCACGTTTAGAGATATTACTTCTTCATATTTCATATTTCATTTCCAATTGGCGAATGTCTTCGCTTTGTATGCATCAAAGCGCATCTCGTCTGTTTCCCTCTCGTGCGCTTGCACATCGTTCAGAAACTCACATTAACAAATTATACAAATTATTCGCCATGGCTGTAGTATCATTAACAATAAGAAACTACAAGTCGAACAAATTGAGAATTTATTAACGATTTTTTTTTTCTCTTTCGCCTTCGATGCATTGCTTTCGCTTAAACACAACAACACGGTATGACTTTGAGACTGGAGATTTTTTTTATATTTTTTTCTTCTCATGTCGAGTGATCACAATCATTTAGTAATGTAGTGAATTGTTTTGTACAACAAAGAATAAAATTACATGCTTTTTAACAGATTCCGCTCAAGAACGAATCGTACAAAGCCAAACATTTGCTTTAAATCTCTCAGTAATGTGTTCATTTGCTTATATTTTTTTTCCTCTGTTCGTTTAAAACACGATTTTCATTTGCATTTTAAAGCTTCAGTCACTTTTGTGTCTCATTTCGGTGTGATTGTTTTAACGCCCAAATCGTTAAATTGCTTTATTTCATTTATCTCTTCCCCCTCCCTTAAGGCATTGTCTTAAAACCAGAACTAATAACTCAATTAACATATTGATATTCGCCTTCAATTCCATAATTACTAACTTAAACTCAGCACTTTAAAGAATTTCCGGAGATGTTTTTACAATCACTTGAATCATTTTTTTATTGCACTATTTTTATTGAACAGCTCATGAACGGGTTTTTCAGCTTTTTGGAATTGATCGTTTAAGTTTAAGCTTTTATCATCGATTATCACGTTGTAAATGCAATTAATACCGAACTCACTTACTATGTACACTTCATGACTCAATCTTCGTTTCTTCTCAGAAAGATTAAGTAATTTATGGAATATTTTTATTATGATTACATTGCGTGTAGCATATGATTGAAGGTTTTGGGACAAGACACCTCCAGATGAAGCAGCAGCAGCACATCACAACAATCCCCTAGTTTAATATTTCATAATTTTTATTGCTTACATTTAAGAAACCTTTAATAGTGTACGTCGCATTAAATTTAAAAAAAGGCAAAGCTAATAAAATTGGAAATGCAACAAGAGAGTGAGTGAAGCAAAAGAAAGAAAAAGAACAACACCAATTAATACTAAATAGCTTCATTCCACTTTTTATTATTATTTGAAACGCTTGTTCAATTCAGCCCTCCCCTTCTTTTAAATTATGGGTAGACATAGGCATTTAATTTGCGTGATATGATGATGTGAGCAAGCGAGGGAGATGGAAAGGGAAAAGCGCAAATTATAATGTGATTCTTGATGCTATTTTATGCCACATTTTACATTATTCGTATCGTAAAAGAAACATTTAAAAATATTTTTTTGGATATGAATAACATACAAAGCGATCATTATCGTCATATGCCATGGCAAAAAGGATGGAACTCACTGTATTGTGGATCTTGTCTGTTACTTGATTCCCTTTTTCAAGCTTCACAATGAAATACAAGAAATAAAAGATAAAAGCAAGTGATGGGAAGCAATAAATTTTTTTTGGAGTTTTCTTGTCGGTTTTTTGTGTTCTGATAACTTTTTTTTAGTTTGTTTCATCCCGTTTAGTTAATTTAAAAACTTACTCAATTCTTTGTGAATGGTTGTGTTGATGATGTAAAGATGAACACAACAGACAAACTAATTTATTTAACAGAATCAATTTCCAATGAGTTTTGGTTAATGGGGTTGATTGCTAATGATGTATCTAAATAAGTTCAGCTTTCTTAAAATGTATGAAAGATAAAAGTTTTCTCAAATTTTAAGCATCATCAAAGATACATAAATCACTGATAAGTCTTCACAAAATAAATTTCATCGCTCTGAGTAGTTTGAAGTATTTAAGCAAAGAAGAACGCCATCAAATTTTCACACGATTTTCGACGGACGCTGTGTTGAATATCATTAATGAAATGAAATGGAATGAATGCAAAATAAAAGTATAATTTATGTGAAAACATTCGAAACAGATTGGTTTAAAGATTCGCCAGATTTGCACGAAACAAAAAAAGAAAGAAAAAAAAAATTAAACGATTGAAAGGAAAGTTTCGTTTTGTATTAAGAATTCTTTATGAATGTTTTGTGCTTGATTTTGTTTAAATTTATGTTGATACATTTATTTTATATGTTTACGTCTATGAATTGAATTCTCAAGTATGAAATAAATACGAAAGATAAAAGAAAGAAATTACAAATGATTGAAATTAAATTGAAAAACTATGGCACGTTCTTTGTGGTTGAGATTGCTTGCTTCCAATTTGTTTGATTAACTTTTTTTCTTGCTTTCATGCCCTCAACCCTTTTTCGAAGGTGTTATAAGCATGAACGTTGTTCTCGCGGTATGTAAATCGCGTTGTTTTTCTTCTCTCTGTTTTTATACAATGCCGAGAGTCTTATTTTTTTAATGGTAAAACACGCAATCCGTGAGTGAGTAATATTTCAATAAAAGAGGCGCCAGAAAGATGAAGGTATAAGCTGTTATTGAATTTTGTAAGTAGCAGAATGTAGGTGCTGGTAAGATCAAACATCTTCATACGTGTATGTTCATTTATATGTAGATATGATGATGCAACTCGTGAATCAAGAAAAATAAACGGAAGTTCAAAACTTTTCCATTGTGGTTGGTGGAAAGGAAAGCTTCGATGCAGACAAAAATATGTTTTTCAGGATGTGACCTGAAAACAAGAAGACATGTGAAAGCGATGAGATATTTTTCACAAGATATCATGATAAATAAATCTTCCCAGTGTGATCACGTAATATGACTGAATAATGAAAAAGAATTTTTCAATTAAATTTCCTTATTAAGTGAGAAATTTCTCTCTCAATTCATTTACCGTGAAATTTTCATATTTTTCATCATCATCGACGAATGGAATTCACTTTTAATTTCCTGTTTATCGCTCATCATTCTTTTTTTTCGCCCTTTACAGCGTCGTTTATTTCTTCCCCAATTTATATTCAATTTCCTTTCAAGCTGTAATTGATTTGACTTTTATTGTGGAAAAATATTTCGTAAACTTTTCGTGAAAAGGTCTGCCAAAGCGGCTTTGGAATGAAATGTCAGTAGATTTAAAAAAAATCAATTTTCACCCAGTTAAGCTCGTTTCACTTTAGTCATGCATCGTAAGGTTTGCTTCTTCCACATTTCTTTTACAAGCAATAAAGTGAAATCATAAAAGAAACTACCGGATTGTTATTTTGCATAAACATAAACTACAAGACGCTGTGCTGCCATCAATTTGTTCTTTGGAGATTATCATCAAGGGGGGAAGAGAAGCAACATAAACGTGCGAGTTCATTTCGCTTTGAGAAGTTAACTTCTTGTTACTTTCACGTCATAATGTGATTTAAAAATCAAGAAAATTAAGGGCAGCAAAGAAGAAAAATTTCATTTAATTTTAAAAGTCATTTCTGATTAAAATGTTGATGAAATTGTTTGAGAAAAGGGCAAGAGAATGTTGTTACATAATCAGAATGAATCATTGTCAAAATTGGAAGGAGAAATAGGAAGTGTTAAGATATAAATCTTAGTTGACAGTGTCGAATGATTCGTCACTTACGGTTTTATGGGTGAATAAATTCATAAAGAAATCATCGTTGAACAATAAAAAGGTGTTGAATTTCAAAAATGTGCTGCCGCTAGTGTCGAAAGGAAACTCGAGACTCTTAGAAAGGCGACTTTGTCTCGATAGACGGCGGAAAAATAAAGAAATGAGAGATGCCATTGAGTTGTAACAACATGTAAGTTGAGCTTTATTGCTTATAAGCAATGAGAAACGATTAAATTTTACGACTTTATTTGCGATTTTCAGAAAAATGTGGCTTCAAACATCGTCAACAAACGCAACAGCAGCATCAGCAGGAAAATATTTTATTAACTACGAAATGAAGCTTCAGTGTTAGCTAAGATTTGTTTAGCTGTTATGATGTCTCTCACCGCAACTCGTTACAGACTTGTTTATTAACATTTTAGAACAGCAGCACTTTAATAAAACTTAATCATTGTCCTTAAACTGACGGCATAACTAGTTGGGGCGCGGAGCTACAAGCTTTTATTGTCATATTAAACACGTCCAGAAGCCATTAAAATAACATTAATCAATTTATTATTGTTTTAATAACAAAAATAAAAGATGTAAACGTCTCATCTCGCAAAAAGTGCTGAGTTGCTGGCAAATCATCAATTCATGAAAGAAACACAAACCACACAGATGTAAGCACGCGAACCAGTCTTGAGGCTTCTGCACCAAAGCAAGAAACACAAAAGAAGAAATAAAATAAAATTAAATGAAATATAAAGAAAAAAGAATATCATCAATGTTGATTCTGTTATTATTGTGCTGGTCTGATGTTGTGAAAGGAAACACATCATTCGATGAAGTGAATTGACAGACCGGTCGATAGATGAGTACACTTGAGTTATTGGTAATTATCAATTCACTACATCATCGAAGAAAGAAAAGAGATTGAAAAGAGAGCTCAACACTAAACACCACCATTATAATTCATAAAGACCTGACAGCTTCCAATGACGATGAAATCGACAACAACGATGTCGACGACGACGAAGACGACGATTAATGATGGGAAAAAAAAAGTTAAACCAGCGACTTTCCACGTAAATTATTCGATTGTTTCTTGGGATGGCTTTTAGGGGAAACATTCCGGATCCCAATTATCTCATTGAAAGGTAAATTCTTGGAATTTCTAGAGCCGCAGACGTTTGCTTGCTGTTTGCTTCTGCTTCTTGTTCTCCATGATAAAATACAAAAAAAACGTAAAGTGTGGTGGCAAATTCTCTTCTGCTAAACGAGTGAAACAAGACAAACAGAGGCATTTTAAACGCTTCTTTTCATTTTTGGCCTCATAAAAAAAGTTTTTTTGTAATGTCGAACACCTTTGAGTATTATCTCAACAATTGTCGTCATCAAGATGTATTTCACATCGTCATTGCTATGGTTTTGTTCGACCAGTGCTTTGATTGTATTGTGAATTTGTTGAAGCATATGTGAGTTATGTTAACTGGTAGTCATCATGAGATGTCCCTAACTAACTCAGAAGAAATTGAAATTTTTAATAATGAAGAGAGATAAAACAGAAGAAGAAAAAAAAAGAATTTTTGAAAACTAGTTGAAGATTTTGATGATGTTTTCTTCTCTCAATCTCTGCTAAGGTAAGAATTCCAAACGTCGTCGTCGTCGTCGTGGTCATCTTTTAAACTTCAAAAAAAAAGCACACACAGATTGTTGAGTATTCTTGTTTGATCAATGAACATCTCGTCGCTTTTGGTCGCGTTGGTATGGTTTCTAATTATAAGTTGTACTTTTTTAATATATGCTTTCCCTTAGCATTTCTGGTTTGTCTTCGGGACCAACTTCGTTGAAGTCTTCTTTTCGTCTTCTTTCTCTCTTGCATACCGCCATTGCGCTTTTGAAAAAAAAAGAAATATTAAAAAAAATCAAACAATCTATCACAATAAATGAAAATACATATTGACATGTGAAGTATTGCCGGTAAGATCATAAATGGCGTCACAGAAGAATGAATTCGAGTGGGTTGAAGTGTAATCACATCTCATTGACATTGCATTTGAATGCTTCCTTTAGTTTTCTACTCGTTTTCTTGGTTAACAGTTTACAAATCCATTCGGAGGTCTTTTTGTTTGGCTTTTATCAGCTTTTTTTTTTCTTCCTTCACACAAACGTCAAATCGAACTCTTAATTTCTTTTTCTCAAGCTCTACCATCACATCGCATCTCTTCCCTTTAAATATGTGTCGAACAAATAGTTAAAGTAAGAAAAAGTGCTTGTTGAAGCGATAACTTCAGCTCTCGCTTTGGATGGGAAGAAAAGGAAGTTAAACAAAGCAATTGCCTAGCATTCTGTTCGTTCTTAACGTTCAATAAGTGTTAAAACAAGAATCTTTTTATACTTTTCTTACGTAAAAAGACTTTTCTGACTTTTAAGCGAAGGTAAAAAAATGTAAATATTTTGTTGAGTTGTTTTTTTTGGCGCCGACATTCTGTTAATTTATCAATATCTCTAATTATGAATAATTTCGAGTCATCATAATTTAACACTCTCGAAAACGCGGCAAATCGATACGTGGGGTGACCATTGACAATAACAATCAAAAGAATTTGCAATGAAAATAGAAACATTAGTCCCGATGAATGAATGAATCTCTTTTTTGACTTCGAAATTGATATTAAAAAACGTTTTTGAAAGATTTTATAAGTTGCTTAATTTTTTATGCAAAAAAGAAGCTTTTACGACTTGTTGAAATAGCCTTAGCGAAGTGGTAGATGAATACCGAAATGATATCGAATAGTTATTGCCAGCCAAACAAAACACAACTGAGAAAATAACAAAAACCAAATATATATATGATAATCGTGAAAAATTTCAATGTGCTGATTGAGAAGAGCTGATAAATTGAATATCACGCACACAATATGTTTTGCTAATTTAAAAGCGATAAATTGAGATGATATTTGCCTACGACTGTTCAAAACAGTGACAGCTGTAAACGAGAAGGCATTAAAAGAAGTCTCGTGTTAATTAAATAATTCTCAATATCCACCTGCCCATCAACTCCATTAACAGAGTATCCGCTAGCCAAAAATAAACCGTAATCCGAAATGATTTAGGTCGCCTTCGATTTCATGACAGCATGAAGTATCATCGCCATTTGATTTACTGTCTAGTCACCCCTAAAGCAACGTCTTTAACAAATTGAGGTGGAACACAAAGATTTACAAGGAATTTTAACCTAAAGACTGAGCTATTAAGTTAAACGATTGTCGAGTTCACTTGAGACGATCGCAAATTTATTAATTGTTTTGTTTCGTAATTTGATAGGTTTTTGGTCGCGCATAATGAAGATATCATTGGCGAAAAAAAAAAATTAATAATAAAAAAGAGGAAAAAGAAGAAGAGAATAATAAGAATGTTGCTGCCGCTGCTGCTGATGCTGACGAAGCGAAAGAAGAAACTGAAAGGGAGAAAAAATGTAATCGAAAATGAGCGTTTCGAAGTAGGTGTTACACAGGTTAATCATCTACCAATTTTATTCAAATGAGCGCCTCTTTGAAACAAAATACCCTGAGTTAACCAATTTAAATTGATGATGATAAGTTGTGTAACAAAACAGATTCTTCTTGACTGATCTTTTAAGTTTTTTTTTTTCATTTTTGCGTTTCGCAAACGGTCGCTGTTTAGCGCGAGAAGTAAACGAGACATGATGTTTAATTTATATAATTTGAACGATTTGAACGATTTGCCCCCGCACACACAGCAAACAAAAAAAAAAGCAGTAAAACTCGAGTCACCCAATTGAACACGAAGACGGCTTTATGGAGTTGTTGAGATGTGCTTATTTGTGACCTTCTTCAAGTGACTGTGAGTGAGATCGAGACACTGATTGTTTTCTCTATCTAATTTTATTATTATTAATTTTTTTTTCAATAAATATTTTATAATTGGAAGCGCCATTAACACATTCAATAATATCGATGATGTCGAAACCACCGCATGTGACGCGACTCTAACAAATCGTCTGTTTAACTAATAAAATTAAAAGTGTTTTCTCAAGAAGCTCATTGTCATTGCAAAGATCGTAAAATGCTTTCTTAGAAGCTTCGAAAGTAACACACACGTCAAGACAAATGCGGTGAAGCTCAACCAGTATAACTTATATGTGATGATCATTAAGTTCTATAATGGTACACCTGCGGAACTGGTGAATTAAGATAAGGAAAATCAATTATATATGTAAAGAAGTTATTTTGCCACGTCTTCATCGTTCCACTGAAATATCTCGATCTGGCATTTAACGATTTGTGTTGTTCCCTTAATCTAAAAAACCTATTCTAGAGTACGATCAATTTGTGTCTTTTGATATAAAAATCTCAATAATGATGATAAGAAAACAAATTTAAATTGCTTCGTTTCCATTTGTGTGTTGAAAAATTGTTCTAGATTATTTATTGAGCACAATAAATGTGTATATAAGGAATCTTCTTTCGGGTGGACCCATTAATGATAAAAGATTACATCAATAAATTCTTCAATGCTAATTAATAAGATGTTTATTTTATGGGCTCGTATAATAAGGCAAGTTGATCGTAACGGGTGGAACGAGACTGTCTAGATCTGTTTAGCATAATTATGATTTTTATTTATGATATGTTTAGTGTCTGTCGTTTATTTTAACTAGAATTTCGTGCTTCGACACAGCATGCGATTGGAAGCTGTTGCGTTTTTGTAAATCTTGAAATTCTCAACTTTGTCTCTCTCTCACTCTATCACAACAATCTCTGTTCATGGTGTGATAATGATGTCTTAGTATTGAATCTTATTTCATTATCATTTGAATTTTTATGCCGATTTCGACCTAGGCAACAATTCAATTATCACGATTAAAGCCAACACGCTTGTGCTGAACTCGTAAGAAACGATTGTTGATCTCTTCACCTTATTAATAAAAATCACTTTGAAGGAAGCATGATGCATAAATATTTAAAGGCGAAGTTCAACATCATCTCGTATTTTGACTTTCATCTCATATTCACTTCGAATATCAAAAATCTTTTTATTTAATGCTTTTGTTGTTAAGCATTCGTTTCTCGATGCCATCAAAAGAGATGAAACGAATGAACAGTGGAATATGTTTCGGTTATTTGATTGCTATTATCCCACAAGAGAAGAGCCGTCTCATGAAAAGTGATATAAATGATCAGTTTCCAGTTGTTATATTGCCACGTTTAAAGAAACTAAATAACATAAACTCTCTGATCGCTTGTTGAAGAATGAGTAAAATAATATTAAAAATCATATATCCGAATAACAACATGTTTGGAATCGTTTGTTAATCATGCCAACATTAATATTTATGTTCACTATTTGTCAAAGTTATGTTAAGAGATGAATATTTTCTTCACACAAATTTATTTTTAATATTTGTGAGAGAATGTATTGTGACAAAACTTATAAACATTTCTTTCTTTCTTTCCAAAAAAAGAAAAAAAAGCAGCAATTTGAAAAATGTGCATTTCATATTGAAATCTTGATCTTTAACATCGAACTCAAATTTAATAAAAATCACGATCTCATGAATAAGGAGAAGCGAAATAAGAGTCTGAAGCATAATCTTTCATTTATCTCGTGGATTAAATCTAAAAGTGTTTGATTATTAAATTACAAGAAGAAGAAGAATGAGAAGTTGTTGGTGTTGTAAGAAATCATAAGTACAAGAAGTTATTTATTATGACCGTTTACTTTACACATAATCACCGTGAATTTGCTTTATGCGGCTTGAACAATTGTGAATGTGCCTGGAAGCATCTGATCAATAGTGTGCTGCTAAAAACAAAAGCCAACCAATCGTTTATAAAAACAGTTATAATACCCAATTGACCTCATCGTTTTCCGCTAAATTGTGCAAATGTTTCTGCACGATTTCAACTCCAAAGATGTGTCGGTAAATTAGAAAAAAAGAAACAAAGAAAAAATAATAACAAAAGCATTATTATGATTAGGTCGATCATTTCTTTTTGTTTTTATCGAGAGCTGCCGCATTCAATCTTTGACTTCAATTTAGCTCAATTAATTTTTTTTCTCCTTCATTCGGGAAAAAAAGAAAAAGAGAAGGAAAGAAGATTCTTTCTTAATATTTTTTTTCAAGATCAAGATTGCGTCAAGAGCCGCGTCTCATTTCATAATGAGAGTGACTATGTATCAAAATAATTGTTTCTTAAAGTCCGAGAAGTAAGCAATGTATTGACGTACAGTCGAGTCGTATGCACAAGTCAAAACAAGTTGTCGAGTTTTGAGTGAACGAATGAAAACATATAACATAACAACATGAAAGGGTTTCTCATGAAATGAAAACGGAGAAAAGAAAAGAAAAACTTCAGTCCGTGATGTTTCAATCAAATGCTCAAATGCCTTCGACATGACACATATGAATGAGTCCAGCCGAGTATCACATCGCGCCCGATGACACTTTCTTTCTTTTAATCAGAATTTCTTTGTCTAATAAAATATATTTGAAAACATTCTGTTGTTGTCTTGTCGCTGAGTCGTTCATTTGAAAATGAAAATAAAACGCCAGAAGAGAGAAAGATTACTCGGAAATTTCTCGTCGTAATATTTCAAAAATTTTATCGTTCATCACGTTTCGCCGTTCGTTGTGCTTCATATTTATTTTATTAATTTTTGGTTAAAGGTTGCCTTTTTTAACTTTAGTTTTAAAAGAAAAGAAAATGATCATCTTTAAAAACTGTAACAAAAGAGAATCGGATAAAAATCAATTAAAGTCAATGGAGAGGGACAGAAAGGGAGCAAGATCTTCCCAACAGACAACAGAAGAATAAAAAAAAGCTTTTGTGTGGTCAGAATTGATGGAATTAGACGCATGGTAAATGATTTAAATTATAACGCCTTTGCGCACTCAAAATTGAGCAATTTTTGTTGGAAGATAACTTAATAGCTGATAATAGCTCTCGATCCCTTTTCTTTCCTTTAAAACTCAAATAGGCATGAAATGCATTTACGGAGGATTGTTTCGTGGCGCATCAAAAACTGTTTAAGACTCTTTTAACACAACATTCCATTGATGATCTTCCGAAAGAAAGAAGTAAAATAAAAATATAATATATTTAAACTATTTTCAACAACATTCTGTCTTCATCATGAAATGCATTCATTCGTCTCTCTCTCTCTCTCTCACTTTCTGTTTGGAAACATCAGGTTGGTATTTCTTCGTTCCTTCATTTATTTTATATTTTTTTCAAAAAGAAAAAGAAATCATTCGAACGCGCAATGCGATTGAATCTACAAGATGAACATGGATATATCTCTAAAGCCTACACGGAATTTATTAAATCAATATTTATTGTAACTTTACAACTATAGTGTAATAGGTCAATATGAGAGACGACAGCATTGGTGGCTGAAGTATTGAAAAGAATCTTTATGAATATCATTTTGAATGTTACAATTTTATTAAAATTTTCCATTCTTGTACATGACTTGAAGTTGTTTTCATTCTTATCAGTCGTCGTCGTTTATATAAAGATGCCATAAATTGAAATTAGCTTTTATTTTTATTTTGATAGCAATAAAAAATAAACTATGTAACTTTATCGTAAGTGTCATCGTGGTTGCTGATATGAAAACCGACAAATCGACACACTTTTGATCGTTTAAAGCGCAAGGCGCTAACACAAGAACAAAAGCTTTCGGTGGAGGTAAATTTTGTTATTATCAGTGATTGATTATTAAGTGGGAAGAGAAATGGGCTTCAGATTATTTTTATTATGAGGTTATTGAATTGACATCGATGTTTCTAAGCTCGTTCTCATATCTATGTCTTTAGTTTCACTTTCTTGGAAACACAAACGACTCACATAAATCTGACAAAATGTTATCAACACTGTGAAAAGCACCGACAATATAATGATAATGTCAAGTCAAACATTAATTAATTTTCCCCTCAATCGAATCGAAAACATAATTTTTTGACATTCACACAAGGCTTCTGGCGATAAACGAGTAGAATGAATGAAAAAAAAAACGATACATCAAAGAGGATATAATCACGTGACGACCAACAACTGATAAAAAGCATTGGAAAAGTGTCTTCATGTTGACTTTACTTTTTATGTATTTTGAATTTCGAAGCGTTTGGATATTTCGTGAGAAATAATTTTTTGTTTTTCTTTTCGTCTCGATCAGTGTTGACTGTCAAAAAGGTAACAACAGATATGTATGAACAAGTACTGACGACGAGGTGGCACGAGAAATGCTTACAGTTATCAATACATCTAACGAGACATGTACGAACTTCAACGTAAGCAATTGATGATAATTCACCTGAATTGTATAATGGTAAGCACACGATGTTTTGACAACAATTGTTTCCCAGAACTATTTATGCAATAAGACGAGCGTACGAGTCTAACAATAAAAGCAAATATTTAGGAAGCTTCTTGTAATAACTGTTCATGGGAAAATTAAGTTTGCAGCTTGTGCCTCAAAAACAATTCTCCTTATCGTCATGTTTTTTTTTCTTTTTGTTTTAAGTAAGTAGTGAACTCGCGACAAGACTTGCGAAATCACCTAACAAAGTGAAAACATCTTTCATGACTTCAAGCCGAAGATAAACGAAGAAAGGCACAATATGAAAAAAATCTCGCACATTAAAAAGACAAAACAAATTCTGCTGAATACCGACATTATAGCAGGTAAATTCCACATTTATTGTGTATGAATATGACATAAAAATCTAAAAATAAGGAGATAAGTTTCTATAAATATCAACTTCTTCTTCTGCACACTCTGAAGCAGCCGCGAATCCCAAGCTCCCATGCATGAAAAACTATTGTGGACTCTGAGCCCCAGAAGGTTCTTCTTCTCACTCATCATCTTATTGCTTACGCTTCTGACAATAATATAAGAATCCGCGTGAAGAAATAAAAGCAAAGCGAAAGAACGACGACAAACGACATCGTCACCTGAAATGTCAACACTTAATACATCACTCAGAAATTCCTTCGTTTTATTATTTCTCTTTCGAATGCTTTTTTGTCACAAATTAGGTATTTTCATTGGATAAAATCAGAGACAAGTAAATTTCAATCGCACAAAAAAAAAGAGCAAGCACAATCCGGCATAAAATAATAACATCATCAAAATATTTCTGTACGCAATAAGAAAAGAGAAGAAGCAGCTCAGAACTACCCGGATTTCAGTCTTATAGTTCTCGAGAAGACGTCTTTTGTTATGAATAAAGTAAAGAATGTTATTGGCATCTACCGGAATGGAGTGGCGACTAAGTGAGAGAATAATCACAGAATAACAGTCTGATGACAAAAAATCAAATTTCCAAGCAACGCTCAATTTACTTTTTCATTATCAAGGTGCTAGTTTTGCATTCAAATCAAAGATTCCAATAAACGACGTAAACATGAGACATAAACAGCGCTCACGCGGATCGGAATTTATCGACAAAAATTCTTTTAGCTGTTAAAAAAACGTGAGCGAACAATTCAATCGTAAAAACATTTTTTTTGTATTTTTTTTTTGGAAGCGCAACTCGAAGACGATCAACGCTGTACACAGAAGGAAGTCGTTTTGTTCTTGATAAGATTATCATCAAGAAGGAAATATTTTCGTGAAACAAATATCTGGAATATTTTTAAAAGTAAAGTCATAAGTTTATAGCGTAAGCTTACTAATGCGGGGAGGTCTTTGTAGAATGGAAGATTGGAATGCCAATTACACGATTCTAATGCGTGAATATAGCTTTTAAATCTTCGGAGGTTCATTGAATTATCTTTGATAACAGAAAATTAGATAAGCAATTTTATTACACTAACATATGATAAGAATAATAATAAACAAAATCTTTTCACTTTAAGTACAAGGTGGAGGGTCAATAATATTGCTTTTGGTAGGACTTGAATTGCGATAACAAAAATTGAGTCTGGTTAGATATGATGGAAAAAAAAATATTTGAGACAAGTTTACGAGATTTAAATCCGCTTTTATTTAGACATTTAAACTTTAGATAACGCCCAGGATACTTAAGTTGGAGTAGCTTTAAGTTGTTTTTATGCACATATGTGATTTGATTCCAATTAGAAAGCCATAAATATCGGAATAAAGCTGATACTGTTAAAATAAAAGCAGAGATTAATGGCGAAAACGACATGATAGATCTTTTTAATCGGATTATTTATACACTGGATCATAAAAGTCTTCAACATCTTGATTTTTCGTCGCTTTTGATTTCATTTTTCCTTCTTAATATTTAGATTTCTTCATTTCTGACAACCAAGAAACATCTCTCAAAGACTTTGTGCTACAATTTGCATTTCGTGAAGATTCCAAGTCTGATTCCCACGTATACAGTTACATAAATTGCTAATCATTATCACATGCCAAACATTTTATACAGTCATTCTTTTTTCCCCGAAAAAATAAAAATATGGCATCTTATCAGATTGATTGTAAATTATATTGATCTTCAAAAGAATTAAAAAAAATGAATAGGAATAATGATTAGCGTCGCAAAGATCTTATCGGTGATCACAAAGTCGTGGACGTTCAGACTTAAAAAGCTTTTAACGACACTTTGCAGACTCATGTCGCGTATCAAACAATAACTTTTTCGATACAAACCAAAATTGATTCTCACGCTTTTCTTCTTCTTTCTTGTCGTCGCTCATTCAAAACTTCAATTTCAATGCTTTACACCAATCTAATTTTATTTTGATTTCTTTTGATAACTTTGGAGTCTCACGTTGATAACAGAAAAGATTTCTTTTTTCTTCGAAAAGTTATATGAGTTGGTGAAAAATTCAACGTTTTGTTTTTCCACAGCCAATAATAGATTTTTTTTTGTTTTGAGCGGCGTTTGAGTTTCATTTTTAATAAGTTCAAAAGAAAAAAAGCGCCATCCATAAAACTCAAAAGCAAATCATAAAGCTTTAAAACGTTTAATTGTACATTTATCTCTCTGTAGGCCCCCTTGAGGCGTAAGAAAATATTAGTTTAATGTAAGTTGATGTACATACGAAGCATTGCTGGTGTGCATAAGTGAAGTGATAAGTTCTTCGCACGTTCACAGCTTGTTATCACCTATAAAGCTTCATAGAGCTTAAAACTATAAAAAAGCAATAAAATTATGAAACTAATCGTGTCAACGCAACTTTTTTTGCTGCGCAATTTACCAAAGTTCACGACACTCATTCAGTAAATACATGAATAAATGTAATAATTAAAAGTGTGTCGAAAATAAATAAAATTTGAAGCCTTACAACTACTCAGCCAAAGTAATCAAACTGCATAGAAAAACAATGTTGAGTGATTTAAGATAAGGAAAAAATTAACAAAGTAACGATGTCAATTGGCCCAAGTCGCGTCTGAGACTGACATTGTGAATGGTTTTATGATGAGTCACGAGCAGATGCCATTCGAAATCAATTTTCTGGCTATGCATCTTTTATATACTTTCACCTTGGGAATTCTAGCGCCACATTTAACGCCGATAGGGGAAAACCGAAGAGTTTTGTGAATTTATAAACAAACGAGTTTGATTAAGATAGGAATTTAAAAAAAAGAAGAGTAGCAAATTTGAAATTTCCCTATCGCTAATGATACGAAATTTTTTTCTTCTCATATTTTTATTGATATTTTTACTTTTTATTTTGAAGATAAGTTTTCAGTTTATATTTATTGATAAAATGGAAATAAACACTTATGTGCCATCGATAAGGCTTCCCCCAAAAAAAATAAAATTGACATTCCTCTAATTGTCGGTTGCGTAAAGACAATAACAGAAAGAACATGAAACAGAAACTATTCAATTAAGAGTGAGGTGTTCGATAAAAGTTCTTTGTTACGTTAAATATTTAACGAGGGAGATTAAAGTTGTCCCCCATCTTCAATGGAATGTCACTTATCTCTCACATGTATTCGACAGATAAAATCAATTTGTTATCAAAACAATTTCTACAATTTTTTTCAAAAGAAGACAAGAAGAAACGAAATTCAAAGCGCACGAGGAACGTTTTATCGAAGTTCAACTCATGTGTTTTGTGTCGTAGTGTGTGTGTGCATGTTGCGCGACAAAATGAGAATGTAGCATAGGTGACGAGAGATGAAAGAAACGTCAGCAGCAGCGTGTCTTGCAGATATTTTTATGAAAATGAAGCACATAAAAGAAAAACATTGTTGATAAATCGGTTGCAACATTCAATAACCAATTATTGCCAATTATCTTCATCTATTACTGTGATGTTTTTGTGTAACATTTTACACGACATAAGCCCTAATAAAACGAGAAGAAAACTTAAAGCCGCTATCGATGTTAATGCTTAGAGTGATTAAATTAAAATTTCAAATGTGATTTCATAAATCAATTACCAGTTAAGTTGAACGTTCAAAAAACTAAAGCAAAAATCAAAAAAACAAAAAATCTTTCTGATGAGATGCATAAAGAATGCGTTAATCGCTGTGTAGTCTTCAAAAGAATTTTATTTTTGAGGCGCTTTGACGAGTAACCAAGAAAAAAATAATTTTTGTCGCGCTCAAACAGAACCCAGCGTTTCAGTCGGAAAACAGCGAGCGACACATTTTTTTTCAATAATCGTATGAGTTTTCATTCTCTCTTCAGTATCATTTTAGCTTTCACAGTGTTCACTTCGCTTACGTGCGACTCCGACTGAGGGTTTTTTTTTCATATAAATCCCGTTGGTTCATTATCAGTTTCAGTAATACTATTGTGTATATGCGTACTTATATCTATGAAGCATATTCCTTCAATCAGCACTTGTATTGTGCATTTCGTGATAAAACAATAATAGAAAGAAAAAACTGAACAATTATCCAGTTTACTTTTTAATTGCGCGATTTTTATGAGCTTTGAGCGTCGGTTGAAAAAGGAAAAACGTGCTTTGGTAATTCTTTGAAATAAAACTAAATTGAAAAATGTGAAAATCTCGATTCTGTTAAAGTGACAAAAAATAAATAAAGTGAACGAAAATAAAAAAAAAAATCTATAAACTCATAAAGGATAAAATTTAGTTCATTCGTTTTCAAAAATAGGCAACGAAGAAAACAGAAAATTTATCGATTTTTAAAAGTAAAAATTCTATTATTTACAACAAAAAAAAGTGGTTAAAGATAATTTATAATATTGCATCACAAAAAAGGCAAAAAATAAAAATAAATAAAGTAAAAAAATAAATTAGCATGTGCAAATTATTGTGTAAAGAGAAGGCAAAAGAAGGAAAAAAAAGTGAACAAGACCGACTTGAATGTGCTTAGGATTTGGTGGATTGCACTAAATATATGCTGCTTTCAGAAACAACAAGCACAAAAAAATATTAAAGAAATAAAAAAACCAAATAGGTGTTTGTAGAAGTTTTTTTTTACTTTTCTTCTTTTGTAATTGTTGTGCAAAAACAAAACCGTAAAAAGTATGTGTATTTAACAATAAGTAAAGTGTTTCAACTAAAAAGAAGTAATAAAACAACAAAAATTACGCCTCATAATCGATTACAACTCGACTAGAGTGAAAGATTTTGAAATATTTCTTTTTCCCTTCAAATATGAGAGAAACACAAAATTAATGGAGTGATTTGTTAATTAAAAATTTAATATTTTGGAAATCAGAAATAATAATATAAAGAAGATATTTTTATGTTGTACAACATTCTTTTGGATTCTTCTGTGTCCCCCGTGCCGCGCACCGTGAAAGAGCTTTTACATGCTGCACCAAATTATCCGAGGAATATCATTTGTGGCACCTCAATTTTTCATAATTAAGAAAACTAATGTCACATTTTTCTTAAAAAGAAAACAAAAGGTACAATGAGGCCAAATACATACGATGTAAGTTCTGATTCTTATTAATTGTCTTTACAAACATTCCTTTCAGATTTTTTTCCCTTCATTATTTTTTTAATGAAAAGATTCATCTGACAGTCTTCCTTCTCATTTTAATATTTTCTTTAATGTGTGATCTTGAAACCGAGTCGATTAATAAGCAATTTTTATAGTACGCATTTTAAAATATTTAAATTGTCGTAGGAAAAAAAAAAATTTTGAAATCAGAAATCTTACGTTTCCTTCTCAGTTTTCTTCACGTTTATTCCTCAAATCATCTTAAATTTCAAATATGAGAAGGAAAAAAATCCATTTCTTTTCTCAACATTTAAAACATGAATCTATTAAAGGCGTAAGAAGAATATGAAGAAATATAATGCGATCTATGGTTTCCTTCTCTCACTCATTCATTCTCGCTTCTTATTGTGTCTTCTTTTTTTTGCCATCTACCTTTTGCATATCATACAGCAAGGGTTAACGACACAATCCGAAAAGAAATATCTGTACACCCTAAAAAATATATTTTTCCATCATTTTTTTCGTTCTCTTTTTGGTTTTCGGGGTTTTTTGTGTGTCAAATAAACAGCGGTGGTAAAAGGAAAGAGAGAACACTTTGAGGGAAATTTCATTTACGAGCTAATGCTAAACTAACCCCTCTCGATCTCATTTTTTTTTAAACAAAGGCATTCTTCGGCACATAGCGTTGCCCAGCTAATACACAAGTGCAATTTGCATATATTTATGTAAATTCAATGATTATTTTCTGCCTCCTTGCCGCTGTCGTTGACGGGTGCATGATTAATGGATTTCTCAATTCATACTTAACAATTTTTTTTTGTTTATTTTTTCTTTCTTATGAAGAAAAATTCAAATTAATTTTTTTCCGTTGATGGAATGATTTTTAATTAAAATTTTAAATGTTTATTTTATAATTTAAGGTTATTTAATATATTAATCAATATCGCAAACACATTAGGACGCTTCCTTCTAAAGTGTTTTTGCCATGGGTGGCAACGAAAACTTAAATTCCGTGCATATGAGTGCTGCTTTTTTATTTTCCTTCGTTTTATGAGCGAACTAAAAATATGTCTGCGGTTTAATTTTCCGAATGCTTTTATATTCGAACAGGCATTAAAGGAGTAAATACGAAAGTAGGGTNTAACCAGTGCACTAAAGCGATTAAGAATATAGGAGTATGAACCCCTTCTTGTTTCGCTCCCTATATCCCGTCATTTGATGATTGATGTTAGATAAGTAAAGTTTCAAAAACTGCCTTGAATTTTGCGTAATAAGTGAAATGTACTTGTGAATTTAGCTCAAAAAGACCAATTTGACCGCTGATACAGGAAGATGGGGGTGATTTAGGATTTATTCTACAAACCTTCAGAGATGAGATTCTCTGAAGATGAGAACCCTCACCAGCCATCTCCCTGATCTCACTGTCCGCCGAAGAGGTCGAAGAAGGTGGACCGGACACTCGTTCTCCTCATAACAAGGAGAGGATCCTCCAGTTCCACCCCCGCGAGCTCCTCAACATTAATGACAGTGTGGTCAAAAATCCTGATGATTGACTTTAAAACGTGAAGGACGAAATAAGAACAACAGACATGATTACCGTTCGAGATCTTCAACGCGAAAATCAGGAAGATGGGGGAATTTTGGAAATTTATTCTACAAACCTTCAGAGAGAAAAGTTTCTCTGAAGGTGAGAACCTTCACCAGCCATCTCCCTGATCTCACTGTCAGCTGAAGAAGTCGAAGAAGGTGGACCGGACACCCGTTCTCCTCATGAAGAGGAGAAGATCCTCCGGTTCCACCTCCGCGAGCTCCTCGGCATTGATGACAGTGTGGTTGAAGACTCTTAGCCTTACTCTAGAGTGTGCATCGCAAGATGCTACAACATGTTGCATAGTTTCTTCTGTCATGCCTTTGCAATATCTACAGTTAATAAGTTGCGTCCTTTGCATTGAATTCAAATGTTTGTATAGACAGCAGTGTCCTGTTAAGACACCCATCATAACTCTTAAATCATTTCTACTTAGATTTAAAAGAAAAAGGGTCTAGAAATCTATTCGAATTTTTTCTTACCCAAATACATGACATAACCCTATTGCTAGCTTTGTTTCCTTAGAACATGTCACCATTCATTATATTAATAACTTTGCCTTTGTGCAATGCTGGTTCTTGAAGCAAAAGTATATCAACTAGTTTATTTTCACATTTCTTTTGTAGTTCGTCGAAAGCGGATTTCCGCTTACCGGCGTTCAACTGTAGAATATGAGCGAAATTTTCTATGATTAAATGAGTGTTGTTTTATGTGGATATAAAATTTTAATGAAACAGATAGAGAATGAAAGTACTTTTGAATAGATTGTTCTTGAAGTTTTCGTAACTTTGGGACGTAAAATTTCCGTACATTTGAGACGTAATTTATGATATACTCAAGTTTTTGTAAATTAGAGATGTCATTTATGATACTCTCCCATTTTTGTATATTTAAAATTAGAGAGGTCATTGTTGTTGCTCCTGAAATTTTGAAATACGAGACGTCAATTATTGAGCGCCCCTTGATTTGTGACTTAGAAGGGTCATTTTTGATGCACTCATATGTGAGTCCATATGGACAAAATGATTGTCTACCTTTGCGGAAATTAATATTTTTCAATTTATGAGGCAGTTTTAGGATCAGATCAGGAATGTTACCTTCACAGATGCAGAAATTCATAATCTTTCCCTTTGCTATAAACTTGGATGAAAGTAATTTACTGAAAAAGAAAATTTTAAAAATGGAGCTGTGAGATCATAACAGCATTGACAGATGAAGCCATCATCATAATTATTAGTGAAACCATCACTTAGATTTTTGAAGACATCAAACATAGAATCACTTCTTAGCAACGCTAGAAGATGACTTTGCAACCAGCAACAAGATTTCTTTAGTTTTATTGCGGGAAAAAATGAAAGACCGCATTTTATATACAAACCTTTGAAATTAACTAAAACTTTGAAAAAGACACTGAACAAGCATAAATATAAGTGTTCTCCAGGCTACCCTTATTTATCAGGGTGTGTAGCTAGATGAACACTCCGAACTAAAAATATGTCTGCGGTTTAATTTTCCGAATGCTTTTATATTCGAACAGGCATTAAAGGAGTAAATACGAAAGTAGGGTGAAGGAGAGTTGACAATATTATTTCTCATTGTCGACGGATTTGTTGTTGTTAAATTTGAATACGCCACAAACTGCGTCTTCGCCTTGTACCACTCGACATTGTTTGAGACGAAGGTGATTGATTTTTTTCAAGTCACATCACGATCGGTTAAAGTTTCCGACGGATTCATTCTTCTTATTTAGATATTTCAATATTTTATGTTTTTATGTTCATGTACATACATAGCAACATTTGATGTTTTAATTATTTAACTTAATTTCTCACGAGAGAACGAACTTTCAACCACCACCAGTGAGTAGAGCTATGGTGATGCGGATTTATGGATTTCATAGCGTGTTTCAATTACGACGTTTCGTTATTGCACAAACCAGAAAAACTGTTGTAGCATAAAATCGATTTAACCCGAAGCAGATGATAAGAATACTTATACGGGCTTTTTCTGGTTCTAAAATCGAAGTATCAACAAAATTTTTTTCGCAGTTAGACAGAAAATTTCACTATTAAAAATTCCTTTTTTTAACATCTTTGTGTCATTTTTATTCCGCATATTTTTCCTCTTAATAGTTTATGTAAAAATAAAATTGATTGCTAAATCTCCAAAGAATTTTGACCGTGCGAATGTGCATAAATATTCACACAGGTGATGCTGTGAATATTTTAATATTTAACCTCAACTTTATTATTATTAAACATTTTTTTCTTTCCACCAATCTGAAAATGCTTTGACATAAAAAAAGAGACATCGAAATGTGGCAGGAGAGGAATTTATGGACTTAAATTTAACATTAATTCACTTTCTGCGGTTATGTTGTTTTCAACTTCCTATTGTGTGGAAACGCGCTTTGGGGTGGCAAACGCAAACGACAAACGATGATGATGTCGCTTATTCAGCCCCAGAAGGCAAGTAACATCTCGAAATAAGTTGAATAAAAATATTCTGCGAACGTGCACAGAAACTTATTTCAAACTTTTTAAATGCTACGACATGCTGCAAACTTGTTAATGTCAGCAAAAGTTTCAAAGTTGTTTGTTTATACTTCAGTGGTTGATTGTTTATTAAATTAAGTAGAAAGAGTGGTGAAAATAAATTTCATTAAACATTTTCTTCCGCCTTCTTTTTCATGTAAGAAGTTTTCTCGCATTAATTACCGTTGTGTAATTTTTACTGATTAAATAATTGAAAACTCGCCTACCGTCTTGTATTCATTATTATTATCTATCTCAGCAAATTGTAATGAGAAGACGGTACAAATACTAAAGTCATAAAAGTGATTTATATTTTATGATCTTCCACATGATACGAGTGACGATGGGGATTTTTTTGTGCTCAGATCAGTTTGCGCGTCACACATTAGACCATAAAAAAAGATAAAAAAAGTTACAGAAAACAGTTTGATTTAAGCTTCTTACTAATGCTACTTAATCGAGTTCAACTTAAGCCACACAAGAACAATCACACTTCGATACTTTTATGCGAGAACGAACGACTTAAGTCCAAGCAATTTCTTAAGCCACATTTGACTCAAATTTCTTTTCCTTATCACTGAAATGTTTTCTTTTCTTGCATCATAAAACTTAACTCTGAAATAGCAGATACTAAAGTGGTACAAGAAGAAGTCGAAAAGCTCCCCTCAAGCGCGATAAAAAGCGAAGAGAAGGAGTCAATGATATGTAAATATTTATTGTTTCAACTAAAATGAGATTTTACTTCTTCTTTGTCGTGTTTCTGGTGAATTTGGTTCGAAGGGATTTACATAAAGCAGCACAAAAAGACAAGAGGAACGTTGAGTAGCAAAATATTAACTCGATTTAAAGGCGCAAGAGAAAAATCTCTTTTTACGAGTTCATTTTTCAAAATTAATTTAAAATCTTAATTTACACTCAGAAATTGTTTTGTTCGTGGCAAATGGCGATCTTAATATATTTTCCCACTCTCACCCGGAGGCCGAAAGTATTTGGTTTCCCATTTTGACTTATAATAAAAAGAACATGCAAAGAAAATTACTTTTGAACATAAATCACGTAACTGGAGATGCAATCGATTCGATTACGAGGTTTTGATAAAAAAGAATAAATATGGAAATGTTTAATTTCATTGGTAAATGTTCGTTTAAAGACCGCTTCTGATGCTTGTTTATATTCTGATACTCATTGACCCTAATTTAGTTTCATTGTGGGTGGCATCGACATCCTAAAACTTGTGATAAACGATCGTTTTTATTAAAAAATTAACACGTATCATTTATCACGAAAACATTAAATGATAGACCAGAACTTGCCGCAGAAATTAGAAAATAGATTATCAATCAGAATTCCGCCCAATTGATGTTCCATTTTTATTTTCGTCGCCATCCTGAACCTTGATTGCCAATTAAATTGGCAACATGCTATTTGAATTTGAAATAAATCATGTCAGCTAATAAAATGTTGCAGAAAAATAAAATTGTAGCACAATATAGTCGATAAAGTTTATCTAGTAAAAGCGGTGATTTTTGTATTCTTGAGTAAATATTAGCAATATTTGTGAAAATAACGCCAACACTTGTTTCAACGCGATTGATAGTCTACTGAATGTTTTATCAGACCACCAACGTCACGTAAAATGTATGAAATTCTTTTGTCAATTCGAGTTCCACAGGCACGCTAAAAGCTTGTTTGTTTTTATTTACCGATGTATTTTCTTATGATTACGGCACTTTGCAAAAAACAAATTATTGACTGAAAACAAGCAACAAGCTGAAGGGATAATAGCTTAATATGTATGACAAAGTCAATATATTCGGTATGAATAATTTTTAAACACGTTCTACACATCATGATGGTCAAAGAACATCGACACACACTTTATCATTGAATAATTCAAAATGAAATGAAACGAACCGACTATAAAGATTAAGAAATCTAAGATACAAATCAACCACTGTTTAAGACAGATTATATTTTGATTTGAAGACTATACTAAAATGTTTATTTATTTTAATCTCTTGTTGATCCTATCACAAACGAATGAATTGCAAAATGGAAAGAAGCGCGTTTTAATTTTAATTTTTTTTTTACTTTTCGTTTGATATTTGCATTGATTTACATTTATTTACAAACTCGTAAAAAAAAAGATTCTCAAATTAACTTAGAAGACGAATTTTGCCTTTCGCATAGTGGGATTTAAATATCATACCAACAGGTCTCGCCTTCGATCTTCCTTTGATGATCGCGTCATGATTATTAATCCGCTAGCATTTCAACTTCGTGAAAAATAAAAAATTTCCTGATTTTTTCTCGTTTCACTCAAAGCGAACGTTAACGTTTAAAAGACAATAATTAAAGTTGATTTTTAATGATGATCACCCACCTTAACCCTGCTTTTAAACATGATTACAATTTGTTTTAGCACCTAAACATTAGCTTAACAACACTTTCACTCTCTTTTCACTGTAAATTTTCCGCGGTCGAGACTTGTGTTTGACATGAAAAGAAAAACACTCATCCACTTAGTGACATTTTCATTTGCCACTCATCAGCGACACTTTAGTGAATTTATTGAAAATGTTGACAGCTAAAGTGCAAAAGTTATGTTTATATAACTTTTTATTGTTGTTTCATAAGTTCCTAGAATTTTTTTAGTCACTCTCACTCTAATTATGTTTACGCAACTTCTACCGAGTGTAAATCGTAAAAACTTTAATCTTAGAATTTTTTTTATCTTTAGTTTTTGTGCTACCAAACATCAGGTGACTGAATAAGCTGACCAATCCTCATTCAATTTATTTTTATATCTTTTTCTGTTTGTATCAAATTTTTTTATTATTTTTTTTTCTTTCTGAAGATGTTCAAGTCTCTTCAAACTAAAAAAAGAAAAGAAAAGAAATCAAAAAGCAATTAACGTTTGTGATAAAGCGTTATCGTAATGAATGTTATCGCATACAGAAATTACAATTCGATTTCCGACGTTTAAAGTCTTCTCATAAATATAATGAATTGGCTAAGTTTGTTGTCTCTTTAAGCTTCAAGACCATAAGTTTCAACAAAAACCTTTTGTAATCTCACCTCAAGATCTCTCTAATACTTAACATTTTTAAAAGTAATGTTTTGAATACAATGGAAAAGCGTTATGATCGTGGGAAGACGGTAGTCGATTTTTAATTGAGTTAAAGCGAGAATAGATCTATTATGATAATCACAAAGACAAAGTGAAATCAGTCGTAGTAAGAGGTAGTAGAAGCATGAATAAATTCCTAAGTTTCAACAAAACAACGCAAATCAATTGAGGCTATTCTGTGGCTTTTGAGGGTTTTCAATCGTTGCATTTCAAAAGAACATCGCATATTAAGTTGCATTTTATTGAACAATTTAATGCTCCAGCTTTTAACAAAATGATGTTTATTATGTGTAATAATCAGGTTTTGCAATCAATAACATTACATTTTAATCAGATTACTGTTCAGGTGTTCAACATTACAATTTGTGAGAGAATCACAAGCAAGATCAAGCCGCAAGCACATTTATCTTACTTACCTTAAAACGAGTATAAGCTTACATTATTAACATCTCAATTAAAGTCTTATCAGTGTTTGGGGTAGAGATTGAGTTATGGAACGTAGACAAAACAACAGAAAGAAAAAACCGAAGAATAACTTAATGATTTTTTTAATGGTTTCTGAAAAACTATCAACCAGATTTATGACTATTGTCGCTGTCTCTTTAGAATAAACATTTGTTTTGTTGAGATAAGCTTCAATTTATGGATGAAAAATTGCAAATTTAAGTTTGTTTTTATTATTCTGAACAAAGATGGATAGGAAGATAGAGGATTGGATCGAATCTTTTGATGTTTTCATAGATATTTTGATAGATATTTATTGAATGCTTAATCACATCATTATTTTTTTGTTTTATATCTTTTCAGGATACCAAAGCTTACTGTCTATGCAAAGTATTTCCTCCTGATGGTAAGTAATACAACTCAACTCAATTATCTGTGAACTGACGATTAAATGTTGAACAAATTATCTCAACAACAAACTGAGAAAATATAAATTAACAATAAATTCAAATAAGATTATGTTGAAGCGATAACAAAGTGAAACTTGTTTCTCTCAAGCTTTCAATAAGCAAAATTTCCTTAAGCTTAGCAACATTTCTTCTCACTTTTAACTTAATTTAAATTCACGTCTAAAATGTGATATTAATTAAAACAAATTATCTCTAAGCATACAAAGTTTTACCGCTCTGAATCGAAAAAAAAAGCAAAACAAAATGCAATAAAAGCTTAGATTGCAAAAACCGTTTAAAGTTAACGATTTTTTAACATTCTTTATCTGTCACATTATGAGAAAATTATGCGAAATATTGAGTCAAAGTTAGTTGAGCATTTGGATTTGCATATATCGTGATCAGCTTTATTTTACTTCTCATTTTTAAGAGTCCACTGATAGTTTATTTAATTTGAATGCTTTTTCTTTTTTGTCTGTGAATTGTTGGTTGCTTAGTGTCGGTAAGTATAAAACCAAAAAGGAAGAATCAATAAATGTGAAACCCGATCAAGCATCTCGGGAATTTAGAGTGCAATAAATTTTTATTAAACTCAATAATCACTTCATTTCCTTGAATTCCCGTAGGAAGCTTTCTTTCTTTCTGCTTTGTGTCTTTTATTTTATTATGTTGACTTTGCGCACATAAATTCGTTGTCGACTTCTTGTTTTCTTTCTTATAGCTTCGAATCTAATACCGGTAATAAATATAATAGAGTCAAATAAAATATCATAAATGTTCTTACTACCCATTCTATCTTACTTCGACTTTTGTCAAAACACCATGTCATGCCACGATTCCATTGCACCCCAGGAAAACCGGTTTAAGGAAGAGAAAAGTTCAAGAGAAAATTTTCGAAGCACAAACTTAACATACGAACAAGGAAATGTATGTTCAAAATTGATTATCGGAAGACGCTTTGAACAAATACAAAAAGTAGATGATGATGTCGGTAGATGAAAGAAAGGTATAAACAACCACAAAGGATTTCATTCACATAAACTGATTGTTTGAAGTTCTTATACGATCAAATTTCTAAAAATATGAAGAACATTTAAGAAGAAAAAGAGATGAAAAAAAAAAACTTGTTTCACGAGGCAATTAAAAACATGACGTCAACATTAGATTAGAAGGAATTAATTCAATATCCTATTTAAGAACAAATTTCATCATCGATGACATTTTAAATAATATTTTCTTTCTTTAATCTCTTTTCTGCATTGCATTGACTGAGTCATGATGTCATCGGCTTTTAATTGCTCCACTTTAATCGCCTTTGATCGGCGCCACTGCAAATCCTAATAAGTTTCTCAGCTTATTTTATCAGTGATTGTCGCTAATCCGCATCTATTTCTAATTAGTGACTTTTAGCATATATTTAAAATACACATAATTAAGAAAATCATTAACATAATCAAACAAAATTCGATCAGTATTATTTCGCTTCATAAACTTCTAAAGTTTCATTCATAAATTCTTTCTTTTTTTTGCTTCATCCTCGTTTATACAAATAAACAATTTCTTGATGAGATCTTCTGTTCTGAAATTTAGAGAATTTTTCGTCAGCTCATTCTGCTTTTTTTTTGTTTGGGGTAGAGAAGAGTCGCATTCGTTTTTGTCGGCGTTTTTTCTCTGTTTATTCATTCATTAATAATGCTCTGTTATTTAAAAGTCATAAGATAATGGGAACAGTCAAAACTTTCAAAAGCAACGACAAAAAACTTAAGAGAAATATTTAGATTTGTTCTTTCAATCAGCGATGTCACGTGATTGAGTGTGTCTAGAGATGTAAGGTCGAAGACATTGCTGTGAAGTCTTAAGAAGAAATGAAATAATTCGTTTCATCTTTGGTCAACCGCTAAAGCTTCATTCCCATTATCTAATTGCCTCCGTGCTTGTCAAAATCAGTGGCCGATGATACTTTGTATGCATCTTTAATGGGAATGGGTCGTACAGTTAGTTATGAGATGATGATGAGAAAACACAAAAAAAAAACAACAACGATCGGTGAATAAATTAAAAGAAAGAAAGAAACATGCATTAAGGATACTTATCGAGAAGGCCTCATAAATAGCTTTGAATTGCTTCAACATAAACGATCGATTTTTATGCTACATTGACTCTAAAATGGTTTCGTCATAAAATTTTCTAAGAATTTCAAATCGTATGCCGCATAAAAAGTTTTAACATTTTTCTTACCTTTTTTCTTTTTCCCGACATTTTTCCGTTACAGGTTCTGATTGTAGAAATAAATTGCTTGTCTCAGATTGTGCAGCTTCAATCAGCATGTTCCAACAAATTTGTTCGAGTCGAGAAAGACCGTGTAATCGCAAACGAAAACTCAGAAGACCCACGTAAGTACAACAAAACATTATAAATAAAATAAGTGAAACAAGAAAGGCTGGAATGTTTGGGGCTTATACTTAATTCATGTAGCTTATGCATGATGAATTAACATTATTTATAAATGTAACTTAACATTTGATTTACGATCACACCCACAACTGTTACCCATTCTTGTTCACATTTACATAAAATGAAATATTGTGCCAAATTCTGACATTAATACGACAAATTCAATAACTGTAAGTTAATGTCTATCTATGTTTAAGCATATATCTCGCCTCGTCTTGATTAAATTATAATTCAATCTTTTGTAATGTAATACTAAATTACATTAATTATAAAATGAAATGAAAGGTAAATTAGATTATGTGTAGATTTTGCGTGATAGGAAAAATCAAACGTCAAAAATGTGATGTGGAGGAACATAAAAGGTTTAATTAACTTAACATATCATCTATGTATGCTTTAAAAAGCCTCAATTTCAAGAAGCATGTGAGAAAGATTCTTAAAGGCCTCGCTTCATCAATTTGCTTAAATTTGAAACTTAACATCTTCACTTTCGTGTTCATTCGGGTGTTCGTTCTCTGTCTTTGCCATCACACAAGAAAAGTTTATTTCTTTCCAATTTGCAAATAAACAAACTCCTTACGTAAAAAAACGATTTGCAAGACGTGCATAGGAACCAAACTTGAACGCCTTTTGAAAACCAATTAATTCTTTCATCTTTTTTTATTCTCCATCAAATACGGCCTTCGTCTTGTTGTATCATACAACTTCTTCGAAAGAAAGTTTCAAATATGCAGAGAAGGTTGTGGAATAAATAAGAAAATTATCAACAAAAAAAATATTATCAATAACAAAGCGAACCGAAAATGTAAGACATGCGAACTGCTGTCGAAGCAAATGATAAAGACTCTGTTTTACTTTTTGACTTGACTTAAAACCTTAATGGATCAAAATTGGCAGCAACAAAAAAAGAGTAAAACATTACAAGAAAGAATAAATAATAAAAATGTATGCTGTTCGGGTAGTTCTGTTTAAGATTCATGTTTGTTGAGTTGAAGAGTTGTGCAAATAAATGTAATTATCGCAAAATGTAGAGAGAAGGGAAAAAAATAAAAAATATGAAATGGTTGAATTGAAAGTCAACTAGTTTAATAAACTAAGCTTAACTATGTATGTACATCGTTACAATCATCGGTCGGGCCGATATTCCGATAGTCGATAATGGAGTCTAGTTTTTCTTTCTTTCTTTTTTAAATCACTTAAACTTCTCTTATAATTTATTGAGTAATCTGTTGTGTATGCTTCCAAGAAACCTGTCGAGAAGGCGCATTTAGAAAAACAACAAAGAAACAGGAAAAAAAATGCTGAATAACAGAGATCGATGATTGTTATCAGGGGAGGCAAAACATGTGCTTTTTTTTAACTTTGGACATCGATACATTATTTGGTGTTGACCCAAAAGAGATCAAAAAAATATTGTCTGAAATATTGTCATTCGATGTTAATAATGAGATAAGCAATCTGACATCGTGTAGTTTTCTCTCTGCTGGTGCGATAACTAGAAATAGAAACCAGCAGGTAAGAAAGAAGGTAAAGAAAGAGAATAGAAAACCAGATGAGACTTTTTTTTTGCGTAAGTTTTACAGCTAATGATGTAACGAAAGAATTTTGTCTACCTAAACACGTTAATGAGAAGGGTTGAAAACGATACACGTCGTTACCTCTCATATCAATCATCTTCTATGTTTGATTTCCCACAGCTTATGACAAATTAATTCAATTATCCTCTTAATTGCCACGTCACAGCGCCCAACAATGACTTGACAATAGAAATTGAAGTTTCAATAACATTAAAATATTCCCTTAAATCGTTTCTCTGTTTAACAAAACGCTTCTCGTTCGCTTGTGATGCCTTTTTTTTCCATAGAAGTACGCACTTAACGATACCTTAGAGTTATTTCCAATTTATTGAAGAAGGAAGAAAAAAAATAAAAGAAAAAGGTTATGAAAACAAAACACACGAGTGTGAGAGAGCGTTTGAAATTCTACGAATTCGAGGGAGGTATTTCTTGTATGCTGTTCAAATCTTTTCTTTACTCAAGAAATCACACTTTCTTCTTGTGTCTTACCTAATATTAAAAAAAAATACAACACCAAAAGAAAAGCAAAAAAAAAATGCATTTTAAAAATTTTCCCAACACACGAAAATATTAAATTTTTTCTAAGTTTGTTTTAGATGCTTTCTTGTTTATTTTTGGTTCTTCCAAAAGACTCTTCGTTTTTTTTTTGTTCATTCCGGTGTTTCGGTTTGCACAAGACTACAAAGGAGCAAGATGAGGTTGATTTAGAGATGAAGCAAAATACTGGAATGTTTCGAGAAATTTGTAAAAAATGTGATGATTAAATAAAACGATTTATTTTGGCAAGTTTTTTTTTCCTGTCATCGATTGGCGACACAAGAAGGCCAACGGTACAAGGAGATGATCACATCATTTGTCACAGTGAATAAGATAATCCAATGGCTAAATATTTGGCGATAATTTAGATTACTTTCAAAGGTATTAAAATGAATATTCAATTTTTTTTCTTTTGAACACAACATTTGATCAATTTTATTCGTGCGACTTGATCACGTTGATAGACCAGACTTCCCAACAAACCATTAAAGCATTTTAATATTTCAAAAAGCGATAACTCTCCAGTCGAAAATCAACTTATCGAGATAGCAGGGCGAGATGTAAATAATTTAACGCTAACATATTCTCTCGTGTTTCAAGGCTTTCAATATTTCTCATGCCATATTGGAAATCATTAGTTAATTAATTTTACGCAAATTTATATTAATATTCAAATTCTTTCTTTTTTATTGAATTTATTTTTATTCACAGAAAACTTTACAATAACATCGCACACATTTCTCGTTGGCCCAGATCAACTCGATGTTCGAATAACATTTTATATCAAAGAACTGGAATCCTACATCTGCTTCAACAAACGTTGGCAGCCGAGAATATTCGTAAGTGATTTCTGATTTCAATCATCTCATCGTTTTCACTTCATTTCTTTTCTCTCTTTATCTTTAATAATAAAGAAAAAACTTTCGGTCAACTGTTACTTCAAAGAAGAGATGGACGGCGGTTACTTCCTTTTCTATTCAATCGAGAATCCCGACAAGTATCTTGGCTTCAATCGAAGGGGCAGAGCGATCAACTATGAATCGCCAAAGATGGATAAGCAATGTCGTAAAATATTCAAGCGAATCCTTGAAGAAACAAGTTCCAATGGATTGAGCACATCAATTATCGATTACGAGTTGACATCTTCAGCTCCACGCAACAATAATCATAGACATAGCCATAAGTCTTCGACAAGGACACACCAGAGAACTCATAGCAATAGAATAGAAACGTCAAAGTCGAGAAATGCATCGTTGCATAATTCATCAAAACGTTACAAGTTACAGCAGCAGCAGCAGCATCATGTTCGTCATCATCACAATGAACAACCCCTCCGTCACTACCATACTATTAGTAATAATAAAAAACATAAAAATATAGATAGTTACGACAACACTAAACAGTTAGGTAACGAGGACTTAAACGCTATTTATAATCATAATGATAGTGGTTTAAATACAATAAGTGAGAGTAAAGGCAAGTTCGGACATCATCGTCATGAACATATTAAAAAGCCAACTCAAAGTGTTTCAAAGTCGAGAAGTGAACATAATCTTGATGGAAGGCAAGGCTTTAGTTCGCACGGTCATAAGAACAACCCCAATCCGACAAACGATTATTTAAGCATGGTCGAAAATAACAATGGCACTAACAACTGTACATATAATGCGAAAAATGTTGAAGATGAGACAGATGATAAGTATTTTAAAGGTAGAAGGACGACAAAAGGTAAAAATACTGCGCAAGCCAATGATAAGCCTAACAATAACTGCAATAAAATTAATCGAAGGCATCGAAAGAATAATGAGAATGGAAGGCATTCAAGAAAGCAAAAGTCAAAAATCATCGTCTCATAAAAATCAACAATCGAACCCTTGAAACACTGATAAAGATCTAAAAAGTCTCTATGGTAGCATATTCTTTGTTATTTTCTAAATAACGACAAACTTTATCTTCTCTTTCCTTGAAGAATCTACATTTACTTGCTTTTGTATGTTGTATCTCTCTCTTTCTCACTTACACTTTCCCTTTTTGCGCCCCTCCCCATCCTTAAAACATAAATTAAAAACAGTTTAGACTTTTAACGCTTTTGGAGGTGGAAAAGAATTGAAAAAGAAGCTTCTTGGTTCGTTAAGCCACCCTCGCAACATTAAAACAATAAAAATTAGATGAAAATTTGTGTGTAATTGACTTAAAATACTTAACAATAGCAATGTTCTGTGAGTTTTTCGATGGTACGTAGCAAGAAATGAAGAAATGATGTTGTTTAGAAATTCTTTGGAGAATTTTTTTTCTTTTATTTTGTTCATCTGGGAGAAAATAAAAAGAAGAAAGCAAAAACTTTGTTTTAAATGTTTGTAGAACGTTGTTTGTTAGGCGAAATCAACATGAGGGGTTCATCCGTTTATTGTGTCGTCGTAATCATGATAATAACTTAACCCGAATATTTCATAGTTCAAAGAGACTTTAAGTGAATATTTAGAGAGAAAAGAAAAAAAGAAAATTTTCTGATTAATAATTTTAGCCATAAAAGAATTTTCTTAACTGTAGATTATGGATGAACTCCTGTAGCAACCGGCACTGTGGCAGTATTTTTCCCCGCAAAATTTCTTTATTAATAGAAGTGAAGAAAAGAAAAGCTTTCCGCCTTAATTTTTCCATGATTAAGTCATTTAAGAATGAAAGCGAAAGAAATAATAAAAAACTTTTTAGCGACTAAATATTTGATAAGAAAGTTAATTTAGAATTTTTATTTTTCTTTGTGTACAAAAAAGCATAAAAATATTTCTTCTTCATAGTCAAGTTGAAGGAGAGAAATCAAATTGGAAAAGAAAGCTTAATTATGTTAGTGCCAAAATTAGTCATGTATCATTTGTAAAAGGAAAAATCAAATCATTGCTCGATCAATTGAAGATTTTTAAACAAAAAATTATTCAGACAAATTTCTTTTAAACTGATACTCAGCATGAAAATTAAATTAACACAAAAAAATAATAAATGGAAATAGCTTCTTAGCATGAGCATTGATTTAAAGTCCCGAGATCTTGAAAATCGCATTTTTATGAGAATCCTTGAATAAAATTTATCGATATGGAAATTAAAAAAAAAAGCTAAAATAAAAATGAAAACTGAATCAAGTTTTACGTTTTTATTCTTACACAACACACATACACACACTCTCTCTCTATATAAATATCTCTAATCATTCCAGGATTCATTTCAGTTAAAATTAGATAATCAAAATCAACATTCCTTGAAGAGTTAATAACATGAATTTTGAATAACAAAACTTTACAGAAAAAAGATATTAAATAATCCAGAACACTATGAACCTTTCTTTCTTACATGTTTCACAAAAATTTATGCAGTTAAGAGAGCAAATATAACTTAAAAGCAATATGAATAAGTTACTCATTATTTATATTATTTGTTTAAGCGAAAGTGTACATATAAAGCAATTAAAAATCATTATGATTATTTACCTGTAAGAAAAAAAACGATGACATGAATATATTTTGAAGAAATAAAATATATTGAAGACAAGATGAAACTTTTTTCATTCATTCATTCATTCACAATGCTACCTCTCATTACAGTTTTATTTCATTCATCAAAACTTCTTTCTTCTTCCAACTCTTGGATTGACAAGAGCTCTTATCATCGATGAGTATGTTATGGGTGAGTGTTGAGTGCTATAGAGGATTTCCTGAGTTAGCTCTCGTCTCTGTTGTTGACAGATTTTTCAACAACAAATTTCTTCACAAAGAGCCAACTTGACGGTTAACGTGGCGTCGCACGATCTCACCTGTCGCTGCAATTTCAATCACAAGCAATAAATGTTTTGTTTACTTTTTCAATTTTCTGGTCAAAATCACGTACCAAACTTATTGAGTTCACAATAATTTCATAATTAATGGAAGATTTACTTGAAGACTCGTCATAAATTGCTCAATGCTTAATCATTATTTCAAATTCTTTGGGCATTCAAAAGACGGAAATGCGATGATTTTTTATTTTTTCCTCAATATCTTAAGGGTTTTAATATTATCAAGTTAAGTCTTCAACCTAATTAATGGCCACTTATAAATAATTTATTGCTCATCAATCATGAGATTGAGAGATTGAATATCTAAGTAAGTTTAATACTTTTATGAATTTATTAAATATGAGAAAATTTGTCAACTGCAATAATGGTGAAATTTGGTTTTATCGAAGATCGATTACATGATTCAAAACAAAAATTGCGAAAAGAAAAGTGAAACAAGGCTGACATAATCGATAAGTGATTAAATTCCTTCGCTTATCGGAATCTAAAATAAGAAGCACTTCATGAGAAATTTAAAGTGTTATAAACGAAATATTTCTTATCTCAGGAATCCATTTAAGATATTTCATCGTAAAGCGGAAATGGATAAAATTCACTTTATTTTTTAAAAGATGAGTAGTTAATGGATTAAGTGGAATTTTTAATCTTTCAAATGTCAAAAATGTTGAACCACTTTTAATCACCACTTACCAGTTAATCTGATAAGAAGAGGGAATTTATTGAGAAATAACCAGTTACACCTTCGTAATCTTATTTCTAACAGAATTGGTCAGACAAGAGTTTCACTTTTAGTTTATTTCATCATCAATTCAATTTAAGCATCCTTAAATGGTGTCAACGCTTTGAAATTAAATTAATGTTTATGGAAATTTATATCCCGTTTGATTCAACAGTTAGACGAGTCTTTGCAATAGTTTTTAGTTTCAATGACTCACGAGCCACGAGAGACTTGCAATGGAATTCAAAAAAGGAAAAGGAATTGTGGTTAATAATAAAGCAAACTTTCCCGCTGCGTTGTATTCGTTCCAACTAAAAATATAAATATTGCATTTCATTTTTATTTGTTTAAAAAAATGTTTAATATCATTGGAAAGAAAGAAATTAATATTTTAATGCAGCTGTAAAAATTACAAGTTGTCTTAATTAAATTATATTTAACAGAAATTGATGATCAATTAATTATAAGATTTCAAGAGTACGTTAGCATGGATATTTCTGTCATGGTGCTGATTAAGAACAGCGGTGAGTAAAACAACGTGATGCAATTATCAGATGTAATCAACATGATATGCGCAACAAATCATTTTCGCAGTAAAATTTTAATGAAAAGTTTCTTAATAAATTCGATTTAAGTAAATATTTAATTTAGTTAACATGAAGACATCGTCAGGTGTATAAAACTTCATGTTATTTCTTAATTACGTTGTCATCGAATATGATTGTCAATAAGAAATATTTTGTTGTGCTTTTCCAAGGAAGATATTTGAACTGAGTTGTTAGTTAAGAGTTTATGGATCGACATGAAGAAAGCTTAAATGAACCGCCCCTTGATTATCGAGATTTTCACTATAAACTCTTAAAAACTCTTCTGAAAATAAATCACGACATCATCAAGTCATTAACTAAGAAAATTAAATTAAAAATTCAAAAGAATCAATTAAACTCTTTAGACATTCCTTCAATTTATCTTTTAATCCTTTATTTATTCAGATATTCAAAACTACATTAAAATATTTTCGCAAGAAATTCTCATTGGTGCATAAAAGTTTTATTTAAAATAGAAATAATTGCACATTGTGGATAATCTAATATAAAATTGAGAAATATATTTCTTTATAATTAACGATCTTTAATTTGTTTGATAGAGAAATGCACAAGAAGTGCTGCTAGTTCAAGTTCTTCACTGTATTTATTGCGTAAAGGAATGCTTCGATAACCAGTGCGAAGACAATTGAGAGGGAACGTCGTTTGGCCGATCATATTCTTCTCACCAAACATATCTGTGAATAAATGAAATTAATATTTTAACAGTGGCTGATGATGATCATCAAATTAAAGTTTTTGACAAATTATCATTTACCTTCATCCTGAACTTCGAAACGTAGCAAAGCCAATGAAGAATTTTTAATTTTAAATTCGCATAATTCATTCCAAATCGGATTAAAGCCATTATCAGAGATAGCCTTCGTTCTCAGCTTGATCCCCGAGTCGTAAGCGGCGCCAAGAACTTCAACTTCTACTAATGGCGATGATATATTAGTACGTCCGCTTTTAAATAAGTGGCGAGCTGCAATAATACGCAAAGTCACAAGCACCTGATCAAGGTCTTCGCAAGATGGATCGTTGGGATCATAATCGTCTCTCTGCATGAAACTTGGCTTTAAAATAAAACCACACGCGCCATTGTCACGAAACTTTCCCATTAGAATTTGCATTGGCTTATCGGGCGTTTGAAAGTTCAAAGCAATCATCTGTGATCCGACATTCCAGAAAGCAATTGGATGGAAATTCGATGAATCGAGCCGTTGACCTTTCGGATAAACGCGACTGATTTGATTTCGATGGTAGCGAAGGAAAAGTTTGATTTCCTGTTGTAGGAAATATTTTTCTGCTTTCGTTTCAGCGAACGACGACATTTCATAAAACAACCATCCAGCATTTTTGAATGGCACACTACGACAATAAATGATTAGATCTGACATTTCTTTTGCCACTTTCGAGTTCCGTTCCATTTTTCTTCTTTCATTTTCCAGAACACTTGCATTTTGTGCTGCTTCCATGATTGCATTTCTCCATTCAACAGCAAGTTCTTTTGTTGCTGCTCCAATTTCAAAAAAGTTTTGCATTGAAGGTGTGTGAATACGAATCATCCATTCAACTTCACCACCTGGAAGAACAGCAAGCTCAACAACAGCTCCACTAACATCGATTTCTCCTTTCTGAAGATTTCCGAGAAGTGTGTCGTTGTTGGTGTCATTTCCATCGAAACCATCAACTCCGGTGATTTCAATAACATAATTCGCTGGAAAATAGTGCTGAATTTTTCCACCGTAATCTCCAGTCCACCACAATTGATTATTTTTCTTATCAACATTCGTGATTATCGCGTGTTTACAGAATGAAAGCTCGTCGTCATGCTGTGCTTTATAATCATAAAGCGCCTTCACCGTTACCTTATCTCTAGCAACTGTCGATGGATCCATATAACCAGAAGATGTGTAAGCATTGTCGTCTTCGAGAAGTGTTAGATTTCCCATTCGCTTAACAATATCTTTCGATACGGGATGACTCAACTTTACCTTACCGTAAAGTACAAACTTCATGTAATAATTGATTAAGTCGATTAAGCTTTCAAATTTCATTGAGCCGACTTCATATAACCGTCCTTCACTTTTAATCAAACAGTGTTTGATTTTCTGTTGAGCTCTGTTAAAATTTAATATTTATTGATAAACATCGATTAAAAGAGGGGAAAATTTTCATTTGAATGTTAAGGAGGGGAAATGAATTACAAAAATCTAGTACAAAATTTCTGGGCATATCTATCCGAGAGTTCATTTGCGTGGATTTGACAAAGTCCACTTTGGATACAAAGTGACCCAAAAAATTCGTCCGGTTGAGAAAAGTCGTCCGGGTGAGAAAATTCTTGAGGAAATTGTACACTCTCTACCTGAAACTAACTTTGGAGAGCCGAGTTTCAGGTAGAGAGTGTAATAGAGGTAAAATGACGGTATAGTTGAATTTTCAACTCGAATCAATTCGTTACTAAGAATTTCGCAATTCTTATGAAAATGAAAAATAATTATCTACTTACTTGAACGAAATGACAAAAGTATTTTGGCCCTTATCGCTTGGTCTCACCAAAAAGCTTCCATCATTTGGCATGTGTGATAAAATAAGCTCGGACTGTTCCCTTGTTGCTGTTGGAAAATACCATTCACACATTTCGTGTTTGTTTTGTTGCGGTACCGGCTCTTTCAACATAATTGAAAACTCTGACGACCTCAACACATTTTGACGATAATACATAATCAAGCTGTAAAGGTTGTCAAACAAAACATTTTCGAACAGGTAGTACTTGGTGCTTCCTCTCTCTTGCTTTATCTTAATCCTAAGTACATTGTGTAATAAAACAAAAAAAGAAACACAAAAAGAAACAAAAAAGTCAATTAGAAACATCATAAAAGTATGAAAGATAAGCGAAGTTAAATGAATGAACCTGCAATGGTTTGGTTTGTTTTTCCTCCAAAATGATAAACAATAATCGCCGACAAATGTTACACTCTCTCGTACGAGGAATGTTCCATCACCAAGATGCGAATATTGACGTAAAAGACTGTAAAAAGCATCAAAAAATGATAAAGCAAAAGTGAGATTATGTGAGATTTATTGATACTGATTTAACTACCTTTCAGCTTCTTCCCTTCCACCAGATAATTTACCGTGAAACCAATTTTCTCCAAAATGCAATTCATCGTTTGTTGCCGGCTCTTTAGAACGAGCTAAACTTTCAACTTCTTCATCACGAACGTCATCGCGATCAAGCCTTCAAAAATATTCAGAACAAAATACTTCAGTCGATAAGAAATCGGAGGAATGCGAACACACTTACTTGTAGCTATCGGTGTAAAAGATCTTATTGTGCGGTGTCAACGCGAAGAAATGTGGATTCCAAACCTTATCAACTGGATCTTCAAGATAAAGAATTCCACTCTTAACGGTATTTCTAATGTCAAGTTCATTTTCGTCTTGTCTCATGAGATTGTTATTCGATGTGCCATTGCTATCATCAACAAAGAATGCATTGTGACTAGATCCTTCACAATAAACAAGCTTTTTATGCTTCAAAATGATTTTTCTTTTAAGTGCATGCGGTGATGGTAATTTGGTCTCGTTTTTCTCAAGTGGTTGTGTCAACAACATATCACCAAACACTTCAATCATTAATTGTGCCATTTTACGTTGCTGAACGAGTGAACAATTTTGTTCAATTGATAGAATTAAAGGAAATTGTGAAGTGACAAATGCATGCTCTTTAATTATTTTAATGACATCTTTAAACTTAATTTTTGTTGTGAATGTGTGACCATGAAAGATAAGCGGACCATCAGGACCGTCCCAACAATCAAGCTCAATACAACGACAACCCATTCGCAACGCACGAACATAGGCTTCAGTTGATGATTCTGATGAAAATTGATCACCAAAGAGATAAGTATTGTGAGATGAGGAAATCCAATAATCACATAAAGGCTTCGTCATGTCTTGATAGACTCGATTATATTTATTATCCCAAATTTCATTCTGCTTCGAGAATAAATAATCGATGAACTCATTTATTGTGAAATATGGTTCTTGAACATCACGTGATGTATCTTGTACGAATTCTTGAATGAAAGTTGATATAAATTGATCGTCTTTTGCCTTTTCTTCGCCTTGTTCAGTTAATAAGAATTTCTGAAACTCCTTTAATGTTACTGTTTCAGTATTTTCTGAATAAGGCATTGGACTGTTGAAGCAATCCATTAAAAATGTAGGAACATTAATTAAATTCTGATATAATTTCGTAAAGTCATCAAAGCCAATCTCATTTCGTCTTCTTGTGTCGGCAATTTGAAAATGTTTGTTCAACTCCGATGTGGAAATTTTAAAATTAATTTTCGGTAAAAAAGCTTTCACCTCTTTTAATGACACCCTAAAATAAACAAAGAAAATATGTTTTATATATCGAATGTAATGATATGAATAAATATTTGTGTGAATAGTAAAATTACGCTTTGTTTGTGTTTTCCATTGCATAGAATTCTTTTCTCAGCCATCGTTCAACTTGAAGCGGATATGGTGAATGTGTTGTATCGTTAACCATGTACTTTAATCCCTTTATCCACATCTCACACTCTTTTTCAGAATGTGCCACTACCGAAAAGGTCTTCAATTTGAATTCATTGCCATATAAGATAACAAAACATTTCTGATAATCAACTTTCTTGCTTTCATCCCATTTCTCGAAATCTTTTGAATTCTTTCCGAACCGGATTTCTTTGACTTCACGCAATTCAAGGGCAAATTCATAATTATTTCTCGAGGGATTGCTTGATGATGACGCGGTGGCCGCTGCTGAGATCGGGTTGATTAGCACCTGTCGAGTTTCACGTCTTAAACTCAAACATTTCTTTTCAGGTCGCTTTTTCTGATAATACTTTGTTATCAAAGTTCCTCTTTCCAGGAAGATGCAAATTTGTTCATTTTCACCCAAGCTTGGAATACTTAGAGACATCATATTTATTATTTAAAAATTGATTTGAAATTATTAATATTTAGGCACTTTTAGAATATTATCACGAAAGTTAAATATGTTTTCTCTATTTTTATTGTTAAACTCGTTTCCATTGATTGACTTTGATTGCAAAAGCAACTAACATATGAATTATAACTAATTGTTTCTTATTTAGTAGGAATATCTAATTTTAAACTCGTGAAAAATTGAAATATTATCAACAAATTCCAAAATAAACATTTATACCAATTCTGAATAGACTAAGCATGGACACAATTCTTCAAATTCTTCATTAGCAAAGACTCAATTCAAGAGAATTTAAATTTACCGCTCAAAAATTTTCAACACAATTGTTGCTCATTTTATTTACCACCACTAATGAGCTACAAGTTGCCTTAAGAAAATCTATTTGCCAGCGTAATTTAAGCTTTTGATTCACGAAAATATCCTGTGATAAAAGTGATCAGTGTTATGCTGCCTTTTATAGTCGGCGTTTGATTTTGTAGAGTGAATCATTTTTAATTAAATTTGTTTTTAGAAAAAAGTGTTATTGAGTAAGTTTCATAATTTCTGATTTCATTGCCAATGATATTCAAAATAATCTTCACAGTCAAATCCATCATGACTTAAATGATTATCTGAAGTGTTAAAAAGAATTTTCAAGTTTCTTTCGCTAAATTTAGTTTTTAAGAAGAATTTAATTAAGTATCCTTAGTCGCCTTAAGTACTAACAAAAACTTGCTGAGTCACTAATAATTGAAGACAAACCGGTTTTAACATCTCAAGCATGTAAATATGATCTTGGAAACTTGTGCAAAACTGACGAAATCTCTGACGTTATCGTTGAACGATGTGAATTAGAAATCGTAAATTCTTTTGGATTGTGTTTATTTTTATAAAATAAACTTAACTAATTCAATCCAATATTCACACAATGTATACGTTGGTTCGTGTGTTCAATTATTTTACAATACCAATTCTGCAAAAAGTATCGCGAAGAATGTTTTGTCATTGGCGACAAAATTGAACTTTGACTTCTTCATATATATTCTATTCTCTGAAAGAATTCAATTCTCTTCATTTTTTGATGAGAAAAGTGAGTTTAGTAAGTCACTTACACTACATATCAATATCATCAGCTTGTACTTAAAGTAGTGTGAGAGCATAAAATATTTGGTAGTGTAAGTGCAATCTGGCGGCGTAGACTTGAAAGTGCTTAGTGCAACAACGAACGGCCAAGTGAACAGATAAACGATTTTCTTATCGAAATTTGTACGTTTGGAATTTTAGTTTATTCAGAGAGAGAATTAAGGTCTACGTGACAACTTATTTTTTCCTGATCGTCTGTAATATTTCGAGTAAAATTCGATTTTTTTTTAAATAATTAAAATATCTGACGTCATTAGAAGTTATAAAATTCGTATTTAACTCAAGTTTCACATCTCATATGGTAAATTAGCTTTTGTGTAAATAAGTGTAACTACTTAAGTAGTCGGAAGTAAAGTAAGTAGTAATTATCATTAAATATGATTGAAAATATCATCATATTTAAGTCGTCACGCTAAATATTAGACAAATGTGAAAAAAAGTTTCGAATGAATATCAATTTCAATGTTAGGAGTCAATTCAAATCTACATAATTTTAAGTTCGCTGCGTAACTGTTTCGTGTTCTTCTCAATTATGTGACCTTGTAAATATTTTATTTTAAAGATATAAAATAATGAAATTATTTCAATTATCTGAGTGCATATGAAGCCTCGTGTCAAAAAGAAACAATCAATCAAGCATTGTATAAGTTATTTGTGAGTTCTGAAGTTTCAATTTTAAATGAGATTTAAATTTCTAAATTAGAAATTCATTCTAAAGTTGCTTTACTGTTTCTAAAGTGTTTGTCGTCTGTTTATTATTCAGTCAAACCAAGCAGAGTTGATTGTGTAATATTCAGTTCAAAGTTATACCTTAAATAAAAATTTCTTCTCGTTTTCTTTTGGAGATCTTGATTAACATCATCAGCCCCTTTAGTTGTCGTAGCATTTGTGAAAACTTTCTGTTTCTGTTCAGTTATTTCTTTGCGTTTAATGAGAAAACGTCGCATTGATTGCTGTTATGGTATATAAACAAGCATTTAAAACGTGTTGATAAATAATTTTTCTTTTTGCTTTGAAGTGCAATGTAAATCAATTGAAAACTAGACAGAAACCTTTTCTTGTTGATTTTCAACTTTTAAATTATAGAAAAAGTGTTGCTTCACTTGATTAAAACTTGAGGAAAACAATCGTGAGATACTTTTTATTAATGTTAGAAAATATTTTCGAAATTAGTCGAAAATTTTACTCGAGATTTGTGAAAAAAAAAAGCGGAAGGCAAATGACCTCGAAAAGCATTCTCATTCGTCAAACTTCTACAGTTTACTTTCCTCAACATCTGTTGAAGCTCAACTTGAACATTCAATGAACGTTTTAACATTTAAATTGTCTTTTTAATTCTCCCTCCATAAATGTAAAAATCTGATGATAAAAAGTTAAGATTTGTGTAATCTATCATTGTAACCATAAAAAGGTATAAATAATTGTGAAATCTTCACAAAATTTACGTAGATATTTTTGTTATCAAGTTCAATGACGATGATTACGTTCCTTTTAAGGTGTTTCCGAAATAAACTCAACATAGTGACAAAGTTTTGACTCATTTTTTCTACCTGCGCTGATAAGAAATCTTTATCAGCTCCATATTAATTCAATCTCGTACAACCAGCCTTGAAATAATTTTTTTCTGCTGTTATCATTAATAGAGAAGAATTCACAGACATCACATTCATTGAATATTTGTTCAGTGAGAATATTTATTAAAAAAGTTTTATTTTTATTAATTTATTTGCAAGTAGTTTTGTCATAATTTCAACATGGAAGAAGAAACACCCGTGTTAGAGACACCAGCACCCTCAGAGCCTTTTTTCAGCGTTTTAGATATCATTTTATTAGGGATTTTAATTGGAGGAGCAGCATGGTGGTTACTGAAGAAAAAGAAGAAGGAAGCGCCAGTCTCGGTAAAGTCCTATTCAATTCAGCCAACTGCTGTCAACACAATGACCATGGCCGAGAATTCTTTCATAAAAAAACTCAAATCATCTGGAAGAAGCTTGGTTGTGTTTTATGGATCACAAACCGGAACTGCTGAAGAATTTGCTGGACGTTTAGCGAAAGAAGGAATCAGATACCGTATGAAAGGGATGGTGGCAGATCCCGAAGAATGCGATATGGAGGAATTACTTCAATTAAAAGATATTGAAAACTCGTTAGCAGTCTTTTGTCTTGCAACGTATGGTGAAGGTGATCCAACGGACAATGCGATGGAGTTCTACGAATGGATAACAAGTGGAGACGTTGATCTCACAGGTTTAAATTATTCAGTAAGTATTAAAGCATTTCTCGCATATCGTAAAATAAATTTCATTTCAATATGAAAAAATTAACACTCATTAATTTTAATTAATTTACCTCAAAGTTCATGTCAGCAAGAATATCAATTGTCTGACGTAACTATCATGCGATTTTATTCTTTTTTTTTGGGTTTTCTCTTTGCCGCGAATGTTCAAATTTAATTTTTTATTTCACAAAAACTTCAACAATTTTCGACTTTTAAATAATTTACTTTTCCTTTCTATTTCTTTGATAAATTGAATAAATTTCTTATTATTTTTGAGTTTAATAATGAAGAAGGAAGTTTCAAAGTTATTTTGTATGACTCAATCGAATTTCCTGCTTTAAACTTTAAATTCTAAATTTCCATTACTTTCAATTTTTTCTTTTTTATAAAACACAAAGAAGTTCATTGATTTGTTAACCAACTAAACTTTGTTGATGTTTGCCAAAAACACTTTTATTGAAGTTACGTAATTTATGAATGTCTATTTCGTATGTTGTCTCAATACATTAGTCAAAATTTCTTTATTCATTCAACTCACTCAAATGCTTGATTTTCATGTTTTCGTTTTTTTCTTTCTTTTTTTCTTATTTTTGTCCAGGTTTTTGGATTGGGAAACAAGACATATGAACATTATAACAAGGTCGCAATTTATGTTGACAAGCGACTTGAAGAACTTGGAGCGACGAGAGTGTTCGAGATGGGACTTGGCGATGATGACGCAAAGTAAGTTGAACTAATTTATTAGTTCACTTTAAAATGTTCAACACCCGTTCTGAAATCTTTGTTTATCTTATCATTTTATAAGACTTTGACTGTCCACATAAACAAAAACAACAAAAATGATGTGAAATTTACCATTTTTTTTGAAATAATTTTAGCATTGAAGATGATTTCATAACATGGAAAGACAGATTTTGGCCAAGTGTTTGCGATTTCTTTGGCATTGAAAGTACTGGTGAAGATATTCTCATGCGACAATATCGTTTAGTGGAACAACTTGAAGTCGTTCCTGATAGAGTTTACACGGGTGAAGTTGCACGTCTGCATTCACTTGAAAATCAACGACCACCATTTGATGCCAAAAATCCATTCTTGTCATCAATTAAAGTTAATCGTGAACTTCATAAGTCTGGTGATCGTTCGTGTATGCATGTTGAGTTTGAGTTGGAAGGATCGAAACTTCGTTATGAAGCTGGTGATCACATAGCTGTTTATCCAATCAACGATTCAAGTCTTGTAGATCGTTTAGGTGAACTTTGTAATGCAAATCTCGACACGGTCTTCTCTTTGATCAATACTGACACGGATAGCAGCAAGAAACATCCATTCCCATGTCCGACAACTTATCGCACTGCTTTGACTCATTATGTCGAGATCACCGCTCTTCCTCGTACTCACATCATCAAAGAGTTGGCAGAATATTGCAGTGATGAGAAAGACAAAGAATTGTTGAAACTTATGTCGTCGACAACTCCCGAGGGAAAAGCAAAATATCAATCATGGGTTCAAGAGGCATGTCGAAATATTGTTCACATTCTTGAAGACATTCCATCGTGTCGACCTCCAATCGATCACATTTGCGAACTGTTGCCTCGTCTTCAACCTCGTTTCTATTCAATATCATCGTCAGGAAAAGTAAATCTTGAATTATGCAATTAAATTTCATTCAATTCATGTTGAAATCTTTTCAGCTTCATCCGACTAACGTTCATGTAACAGCTGTACTTGTAGATTATAAAACACCGACTGGGAGAAACAACAAAGGTGTTTGTACAACATTCCTGGCGCTTAAAAAACCGAAAGCGGATGAGCCACTGCCTCGAGCTCCAATTTTCATCCGTAAAAGTCAATTCCGTTTGCCTACAAAACCTGAAACGCCGATCATTATGATTGGACCGGGAACAGGTTTAGCACCATTCAGAGGCTTCATTCAAGAACGTCACTTAACAAAAGAAGAAAATAAGAATGTTGGCGAAACAATTTTGTATTTCGGGTGCCGAAAACGTGCTGAAGATTACATTTATGAAGAGGTGAGTTAGGATTGTCGATTCTTGAAATCTTTTTCTTATTTTCAAATGGCGCTTCAAAGCTTTGATGTGTATTTTACAATCGACATCCACATTGTTATTGATTTAGATAAAAAGCGTCGTCTGACGTCGAGTTTTGAAATGACTCAAATCTAAATATTTACAAATCTTTCAGGAACTTGAAAACTACGCAAGCAAAGGAAGTTTAAATTTGCGTATTGCATTCTCTCGTGACCAGCCTCAAAAAGTATACGTAACGCATTTGTTGGAACAAGATGCTGACTTAATTTGGAACGTCATTGGTGAGAAGAAAGGGCATTTGTATATTTGCGGGTATGTTTAAAATTAGACGATATCTGAAGTTCATTTTAAAATTTCAATGTAAACAAAATCTTCTTGTTTCAGTGATGCAAAGAGTATGGCAACAGATGTGAGAAATATTCTGTTGAACATCATAAAGACCAAGGGCAATATGAACGATAGTGAAGCTCAACAATACATTAAAAAGATGGAAACGCAGAAAAGATACTCTGCTGATGTGTGGAGTTAAACAAGCATCAAAGCTTGGGTTATGGTGCTGCTAACATTCACTTTTTTAAATAATTAGAATAATACAAATATTAATGTTTTATGTTTTTTATGAGAAACCAGAAAAGGAACAAAAAGTGCTTTAGAAAGTACCACGTGGAATAACGAATAGAATTAAGAAAATCAACAACAATGTCAGTAAAATGAAAGAAACAAACAAAAATTTGCACTTTGGGTAATCATACAAGTGGATATTATATTTTATATCAAATCTAATTTTGTCGAGTGATACATTTTTGTGTCTTTCCAAGGTAGAATAAAATTTAATACAATTAGACAATAAACTTGATTATAGTTTTTAATTATTTGGAATTAAATGCCGTGACTACTTATATTGAAATCTTTTCGGAGATTCGTGAATTTTATTTTCAGAATTAAATTCGAGAACTTTTAATTAGAGTGTGACAGGAAGTGCTGCGATCTTAATCAAATTTAGTTATTCGAGGATGAAATTGTTACTGATAGATAACTTTTTCACCTTTGTTGCTTGTAAGCATCGTTTGCAAAAGCCAATCTACAGGAAATAAATTGCAATGTCAAATGTCATTAAGAAATAAATTCCATAATGCAATTATTCAATCGTTATTGCAATAATCTGAATGTATAATTGAGAATGCAAAAAATTGTTTAAGTTTTGTCACTTTAAGTTAAATTTCAAATGAAATTCCATCCCGATTGATTGTTGAAGAGAGATTTAATTTAAAATTATTAAAATAAAAGAATATTGAAAGGAGTTACAAGATTCAATGAAGTTATTAAAATAGCTGCAAATGATAATTTATGTCTTGATTTATGTTATTGAACTTACTATTAATAATCTGAAGGTTAAAGTTCACATTCTGCTGTATGTCTGCTAACGAACTAGGAAGTTAACAGCAATCGAAGCTTAAAGCACATTCAACGTTTAACAAAAATTAAAACCTCACAACTGTAAAATGTTCAAAGATAAACTTTAAAAGTACTCAAAAGCTTCTCGATTATTTACATTAATGAAACTTTCAATTGAGAGATAAACGAAATTCATGTAAGAGATCAATTTAAAAAGTATAAAATGTAGATCCCATTGACTTCATGTTCAGTTCAGTTTGAAGTTTCAATGAACTTCACAGGAAAACTTAGTTTGTTGTTCCTTTATTAATCTATAAATGGTGAAAAAACGTTTCATATTTCTGGTTTCTCTATACGTGGCTTGCTTAGTATCATGTGAAGATCCTCAATCGGATCCAAGTAATAACGAAGACGACTGCGAATATCTCCTCCAAGAATATAATTATGATTGCTTGAATAATGTTCCTGAAGGCTACGGTAAGGTTCAATTTCTAATTTATTTAAAATATTTTTCAATTCATTTTCAATTCATTTATGATAAAGATCCTGACACATGCGAATTTGCTATCATCGGCGCATATCCCACTTGCGAGTGGGAATGTAGGTGTGCTCAAACCATCACTGAGGCTCCACATGAAATTGAGTTCGAAGAAATCGCAAATGAAAGCTGCGAACAGGATCGCAAAGTCAAATACAAAAATTGCTTCATCGACATCGTAGGTCGTGTGAAGACACACTGAAACATCGACACTGAAAATGAACTACCTTCTCTTGTTACTATGGGTGAACTTCTGGTTTCTGTATCTCTCTTTCTTCTATTCTTTTGTAAAGTATAAGCTATCATAACTTATTAAGGCCACCACCACATTTCATTTAATTTTAATTTATAAAGAACAAAGGACAACAAATAAAGTATTGAACTCACCAGCGTGTTACAACAGCTACATGCAAAAATAAACGATTTTTTTATCATCATTTATTTCTAGTTATTCTTAAAAAGCATCTCTTTGTTGCCAACTGAACTATGTGAAACGTTTCCAGATGATGATGTCAAATGTTGTGACAAAAGTAGAAACCACTTGTATTGGTTCAGTTATGAATTTCCCAACATGTGGATGAATTTTATTTGTGATAAATGAATTTTTAAATGTTTCGTGCATTCTATAGGTTGATATTGACAGTTCTTTCTTTATTTAATAACTGGATATATAAATCTCGAAGCAACATGATAAAAGCTTTCTATGATTGACAATATAAAACTTTCGCCACGTTCTTCTTCAAACATAGAGTTTCAGCTGTCTAATTTTCTAGTTTTTGAAGTACGTGAGTTTTTAATGTACTTACGTCATCGAAATTTTAATTGACTCGTGAAGATGAATAAAAATAAGAAAAACACAACTCAATTTCATGTCAATATGGATGATTCAGAAGCATGCACAAAGCACAACAAAGACACATTGTTAACATCCAAGACATGAACCGTTTGATGTTTCTCGTAAACGAGAAAACGAAAAAATTTTCAATGGAAACATGAAACATGCTGGATAAATATTTTTACTTTGAATTCTAATAACAAGTTCTAATTTATCGTTAAAGATGTTTCTTAAAATCTTTTAGGATTAAGTAATCAGTTAAGAAACTTATCATTATGTAATAATTTTACAATTAAACAGGAAGAAGAAAATTGAATAAACTTTTTTTTAATATATTTGAGCACCGTTTCATTACAAATGCGCATTTATAAATATCAATAAATACACATTTATCATGAATTTTATTGAATAATCAATATCTTAAGGTCTGTCCAATATCAGTAGTTGATCGAAGTAGGAGAAACGTTGCATAGCTCTTCCAAGCTATTTCACGATGGAAATCATATGTACCAAAAATCCTAAGGAAAATAAAGAAATAATTAGAAATTTCAATATTTGATTGCTGAATTGAATAAATTAAAATAATTTTTGTAGGGTATGAGAGAGAATTATATTTATTTCAATTATTTCCTAACTTTTTACAAATTGGAGAAGAAGAAATTCAATTAAGCACCAGCCTTTCTAAAGCTTTAATCTTAATTTGAGAATTGAATTTTCAAATT